AAGGGTCAAGAATCAGACAGAAGCTCCACTCTACCCATAACACTCTTCCCCTAAATGTTCAAAAAGCCCAAAAATGTTCAAAAAGCCCTGCCTGTGGCTGAGATATCTGGGTTCCTTCCTCTAATGATCAAACCCCATGGGACAAAAGCTCTTGGAAAGCATGACACTTTGGTTGGGGAGGAGGGGTCAGCATGGCCTTTCTTTAGTTGACGGGCATGATAAGAGCAGAGACTACATCCACCAGCCTCTCCCACACCATCTGGCCCTGCACCAGCTTCCAAGGCATCCCTCTCAGCTCCAGGCCAGTCAGAAGAAAGGGCTGGCACCCTGGGGGTCCTGCTGAGGCTGCAAGGTGTGTGGCTGTTGCAGCCTATGTGAAGTCTTGGATTCTCAGAGAGATATTCTGCAGGGCGCACAAAGTTTCCCACTCAAATACAAGGGAGCTCCCCCTCCCCAGAATCCGCAGTTCTGGGGCAACGTCTTCAGTTCTAAATTGTTCAGTTCTCTACGCCCCAGGCCAGGGCCAGAAGGAGTGTCCACCTGGCCCTACCCTCCCCGTTATGCCCAAAGTTCTTCTCTCACTCTTTATCCTCCCCTTAGTGTCCCCGGATTGGACCATCCCATCTCCAATGCCACCTCATTTTCCACATAAAATGCTAACTGAACAAAAACATATATTTCTACTAGCTATCACATTCACACCGGTTCCAAGAAGCTGCAGCAAGAGTGAACGGGGTATTCTTCTCCAAGACTGAGTCCACACGTGGGCCTCCCAATGCTACCTCAGGACGCCTGCCTCTCCCCGCCACACCCCCCAGGAGCGCTCCAGTCAGGACGGGGGCTGGAAGCCCCTGAAGTCATCTTGACTTTCTCCTTCTAATGCTGCTGAGCTGGGTTCCTTCGGAGTAACTGAGGACCAACCCACAGCAACATGGAGGTGAATTCAACTGCCATCCTCATTATTAAGCACCTGTGCCAAAGCTTTCAAGCCATAGTGGCCCCTCCCAGTGACAAAAAATACTGTGGCAATACTGTGACTCCTGGTTTAAGGAGCTATTAGACCCAGTAGCTCCTCCACCACCTTTGGCTCATTTGGATGGTTTTGTCGTTTGTAAAATTTTCACATATATATATTTCCACCTGAAATACCCAAGCAACTCTGAACAGAGTGTCTCCAAGGGAGAGGCACAGAGGAAGGGTGGGGAAGGAGGGGCGTCAAGGCATGAGCTAGTATCCCAGACCACCTGGAGAGGTGGTCCTGCTCCAGACATCTCTAAGCACAGGTACAAAAATAAAGCAAACTATAACTTCATATAGATATATAGATATATAGATAAGCTAGCTAGACTTTATATAGGTTTTCTTTCTAAGTACATATGTGTGCTGAGGGCGCCAGCCCCCGCCCCTCTGGCCCGGTGGTGGGCTCCTGCCCTCCCACTCCCCACTCCCCTGGTGTCCCAGGTGCCCAAAGCCTTCTACTCAGGACTATTGCATCTGATGCTTGTGCCCACCCACCCTTTACAGAGTTCCCATCTCCTTAAAATAGAACAATTATATATATTTATATAATTTTATATACAATCTTCATAAAAATACACTAAAGGTGGTATATTATTTTTACCCTCCTACCAAAACAGAAGTTGCCTACAAGAGAAAGAGTCAAACAAAAAGAGGCCCGATGCTCCTCAGGTGAATTAGTGTGCACTTACAAATCCCCTTCCACACACCACACACACACCACACCATACAGACCCCCACACAGCACAGCCCACATACACCCTACACACCACCAACACACACCACGCCACACAAACACCTACGACAGACACCACCACACACAAGGCACACACCACATACACACTCTTACTTCCTATACACACACCACACCACACAAATACCTATGACAGACACCACCACACACAAGGCACACACCACATACACACTCTTACTTCCTATACACACACCACACCACACAAACACCTACAAGAGACACCACCACACACAAGGCACACACCACATACACACTCTTACTTCCTGAGCCCAGGAAAGGAGCACAGAATAGAAGCTGGCTGGGGCTTAGAGACCAGACTGAGAACCTTGTCACTGCAGGGGGACAGGCGAGACAACCCTATTCTCAGACCCAGCCAGGACACCATCTACTCATGACAGACCTCTGATCGTTTGCAATAGGCAACATAAATATGCACTGATAGAGTGATTGACAATTTCCCTTCTAAAGACTGAACATGACTGTGGGGAGGTCTACTCCCCTCCACTGGAAACAAGTGCCCTAACCTAAAGGAAACAAAAAGGCCCTAAGCTCTCAGGACCAATATGAGGAGTTGGCATTTTTCCCCGTCCTTACACACAGGTGAAGCCCCCACACATGGCCCAAAGCATGCTTGCAAGTATTAGTAAGGCTGAAAATGCAAATCCCCCCTCCCCAGCCCAACCTTTCTCCCTGCCCGGATTCCCTGCCCCACCCAACCATCTCCCCATGGTAAACCATGCACAAGTTCAAGATCCCTGGAGCCATAAGTAAGTGGGATAAGGAAGGAAAGGGAACCTAACTGGTGTGTATGTGGGGTGGAGGAAAAGAGCTTACCCTAGTTCCTAAAATAAATCCAGGAAACCCAGTGCCTGGGGGAGATGGAGCACATTTCTCCAAGGCCCAGAGAACCATTCATGTCCCCATCTAGTGGGACAGGAAAGGCAGAGAGCCAAGGAACCAGGGACAAGAATTTGTACCGCTTTAATTCCCCAATCTAGCACTCTTGGCCAGCAGCCCAAAGCTGACAACTAGGCCATCAGCTCTCTCAGGAAACCCTGAAGACCACTGCAGACCACCATGGAAGGGAAAATCCACATGGTTCCAACTGCCGGTTGCTGTTCTACCAAAGTAGTTAGAACTCGAGATACTCTGACTCATCCTTCTCTAAGGCGTGGCCAACCATTAATGATATTTGCACTAATTCTTAATTTTTCCTTATCCTACCCAGGAACCCTGGAGGTATGGCAGTGTCTTTAGATCAGACTCATCGGCTAGGAAGTTTTCCATCAGTGTAAAATAAGGTCATGAAAATGCTTCTACTCTTTCAACAATCCCATACACAAAATATCTGGGGGGGGGGGGGCGGAATTTGCTCACAAAAAACTTATTTGACAGCACAGGCAGGGAGGCCCAGAACTGAAACACGGGACCAGTGAGGGCTCACTACCAGTCAGGGGGGTGGGTGGTACGAGATACCCCTAAGCACACAGCAAGTTGTTAAGAGTGATTAGGTCCAATCCAGGCTTCGATGCTTGGTTTATTGACTTCTTCTAAAGAAGAGATTTTGAACTCTGCTTCTTGATCAAAAAGGAGGCAGAGCTGGAGAGATCAGAGATGACAGAGGCACGGCCAGGCTGATCTCAGGGTCAGCCCTTTTCCCCACCGAGGTCAACCAGACTGGTGGCCTTAACCTACCAAACAGAGAAACTGGGAAAAAATCTTCTAGGTATAAAGCTTCATGGTCGGAAGGCAGTGGAGCTTCATGGTCAGAAGGCAGTCTCTCTCTACCCAGGAAGAAGTGGATAACAAAAACCAAACCCCAATGCCTCTCTTCATCACCAGCAACAGGTTCCCAGGACCAGTTTTAGACCAGGAGAGAGGAGGAAAAGGCCACCTGCCACTTTTGCTTGTGAGAACACAGAACACAACGATTCTTCCTTCTCCCCGGCCAGAGCTGGTTGTGCTAGACTGGGGCTCTCAAGACAAGCATCCTATCTGGGGGCCTGAGGAGCCCCCAATAACAAAGAGATAAAGTTGAAAGACATCACAAAAAATATGTCCCTGTATGCTTTGGGCACTTAGTGTTATAGGCTAATTCTAGAAGAAGCGAGGAGATCTAGGTAAGAAGCAAGACCTTTTTCAAGCTCCAGTCTGGGCCTATGTGCCAAGACCCCAACCCCAGAGTCTTTCTGCAGTAACAGTATCTCCCTCCCACCACTGCCCCCGGATGACCTTCACTGCCACCCCTTCTCAGCCTGCCCCCGCCCCGGGGCAATCGCCCCTCTCCCTTTTCTTGGGATGACCTCCAACCTGCATCCTGCACCCTTAGGGGTAGCTAGGTTACCCCGTACCCCAAAGAGAGGAGTAAGCCTGGATGTCCCCTGGCTTTGGTCTCACTGTCTTACTCCCGAGCCCCCACTTTCTACTCCATGACTCACCAAACTCTCTATCCCCCTTCCAGCCTTCCAGACACCTGGCAAAAGAACTTGACCTCCTCTCTCTGCTCTAACTCCCCTTCCTGAGATACCCACTCCATCGATTACCTTATTCACTCCTGATCTGGACATTAGCATGCCCCCTGGGCCATCTCCCCAGAGCAAGAAGTGCAGGCCCAAGGGTCCCGAGCCCCCAGGCTGCTGAGCCTGCCTCCCTTTCTTCTGGAGACAGAGGAAGGCAAAGCTGGGCGAGAAGGCCCAGTGAGAACATGCACTCTTCCTTGGGGGCTGCTCATCTACGCCTTCGACACCTTCCTACTGCTCCCCAGCAATCCCCGTGGTGCCCCCAAAGGTCTTTTACATGCAAGCAAAGCAAGTCCAAGGTTAACCATGAGCTCTTCTTTTCTTATGTTTCTCTGTCTAATAATAAAATGTACTTTATGTACAATTCTTCCCAACCCACCCCAAGCCCCCAAAAGGCTTTTTCTAACAATATTGGAAGAAACAGCCCTAGTCCTCCACATCTCAGGCCCAGATTCTAGTCCTTGGAAGTGGCAAAGCTGCCCTGATACTCTGTGAAGTCTGTTTCTTCAGCTATTTGGGGGGGAAAAAAAAAGCCTAGTCAGAAAATTGCTCATCTTAACTCTACCCAGTTTCCTCTGCATGAAAAGGGCACAGGAAAACAACTAAATCAGTTCAACCCCAAATATTTTAGATCCCAAATCAAAAATAAACACAGCCAGCATTTGAAAATATTAAAATATTAATAATTTCCCACCCCAATCCACCCCTGCTTGAGACTCCTCCACCCCACCCCAGGAGCATGACCGGGGACCCTGCCAGCCCTGTGGGGTGAAGCGGCCTTCCTACCGAGAGCAAAATCTCGGAAGACCCCTCATAGCCCCCATCTCTCAAGCAAAGCCACTGGGGAGCCAGCCTGCAGCTGTGGCGGCGGTTCCCCAGAACAGCCTGGGCGGGGCCAGGCCACAAACGCCCACCCACACGCACGACCCCACGCCTGCCGGAAACCCGCTCAGTGTTGCCAAGAAACGGGACTCCCCTTCTCTATGTTGCTCATTTTCTTCCCCCGGGCAGCCGCAGCCTCGGATCTCCCTAAGTGTCCCAGCTCCTACTAGAAGCAGGGACCCTTTTCCTGGTCTGGCAAATCACCTGCAGCCGAAACAGCCCAAGTTTCCAGAGAAGATGCAGAATGGGGCCGCAGACCAAGACAGAGACACAGCAGTAGATTTTCATCCGAGTTACTTCTACAGCGAGGTGACCAGACCATCAAAGGGGAAGTTTGGAAGACACCTGATCTCCCGTACAGTGGAGCGTGAAAGTCCGAGGAAGCTCAATAGCGCTTGTTACAGTTGTTCAGCGGCAGAGTACAAAGGACATTTGGTCCCTAGAAATGGCTACACCCCCGTCCGGCTCACAATCACAGCCACACCCTCACAGCTGCACACGCCCAGCACTAAGCGTGTGCCAGTGACATCTCGACCCTCCATCACATGGACAGAGGGGGCTGCGTTCTGTCAGTTTCCAACACAGTCCTTAAAGGAAGAATTGAAATAGCTCCCAGGGGTGTAGGAAGGCTGCTGGCCTTCAAGACACTGTCACAAGAAGGAAGCCCTCTTGGGAGGAGAAATTAATCTGAGGCCATTCAGAGAGGTTGACCAGGGTCCTTCCCTAGCCTTGGGCGTGCCCAGCACAGCTGCCGCCCAGTGGCCAGTGAAAAGCACTGTTCCAACCATTTGGTCTGATGTGCTTGAGGTAAGGGGCGTGGCCAGAGGAAGAAGGAAGGAGCCAGCGCCTTCAGCTTTGGCGACAGCTCACTGCTGGGCCCCCAGGAAAGCACACCTGGAGTCTGAGACACCTCAGCCCAGGGTTTGGCTCTGGGCCCTGTGTGACATCCCAACAAAGCAAAGCCTTCCCTCACTTTCTCCTTTATAACCCGAAGAGCCTAGAATTCCAAACTCAGGGCTTAGAAAGTTTGACCTCATTCATCTTGAAGACCCACATCCCTGACATCCCACATTCACATTCCAGTTAGGATCTGGCCCTGGTGAGAAATGGCACGTCGTGAGAGTACAGACAGAGGCCGCCCACTGACCCAGGGAGGCCCCACGTGCCCTAGGAGAGGTATTCAGTGAGTCACGGATCAGGGCTCGGTGGCAAAGGTCATGCGGCCTCAGGAAAGACAGTCACCTCACCTCGGCTCTTCCGTGTCACCGGAGCTGTCGCCTGGCGGTCGAGTGGCTTTGGATGCACAGAGAAGTGCGTTAGCCGGAAGGTCCTGGTCCCCCTCTGAGGGCACAAGCCCAGCCCGAGAGAGGAGGCGGTTGGCAAGATGAGGGCCAGAAACTGCCCCTTTCTCTCTTCTTCACCACAACTCTGTCACATTGAGAAATGAGCTGTGGCCATGTGATTTATGTGGCAGAACCCCATCGGTGGAATTGGCCCCCACGCACTAGGCAAGAGGAAGGAAGCACCGGGGTCTGTGTGGCAAAGAAGAGTTCCTCCCCAAGATGGGGGCCCCCGGCAAGGGGCAGCTTCCCCTGCCCTGGGTCATGGGGCAGAGCCGCAGGCAACAGGGCCACAAGATTCCCGAATGCCCCCAGTGCTTCCACTTTGCCAACGTCTCAGCAGGTGACTGAGGAGAGGTAGATGTCCCCAAACCCACCAAGACAGCAGCACCGAGAAGGAAATACTTCAAGGAACCTGACAGCCCCCTCAGTTCCCCAGCAGCAAGAAAAGCAGGCTCCTGCCAAGAGGGGAAGGGAAATCAGGTGCGCCCCATCGGCCCTCAGGGCCTTCCGCCTGTGCTGGGGCAGCACCATTATCTTATTGGAAGAGAGAGATACATCTTTAGTCATTTTAAGATGACCTCACAGAAGCTCCTGGGTGCTCATAGTTGGAACTAGGACAAGATCTTGGCAGAGGAAGGCTCAGAGCCCACGCCACCACCCCCCACCCCTTCTACCTTCATTCCCATGCCTCAGCCGGTCCCACTTAAATGGAACCAGGAGAAGTGAGGGGGTCCAGAGCACCCCCAGAACCCAGATCTGAGGCGTCTCAGTTTCGTCTGACCCCATCCCATCGCAGGCGGGGTCCGCAGGGTGGAGGAGGCCCGCGGCAGGGAAGAGTCTACAGGCAGCACGTGGAGATCATGGAAAGAAGACGCCAGCAGGCTCCCCACAAGTGGCAATTAATCAATCTAGGAAATTAGCTCCCACAAAAGGAAAGGAAGAACCCAGTCAGCAGCCTCGGATCAGCGCTCCAGAGGGTGCCGAGCCAGAGGCGGGAAGGATATAAATAGAGCAGCGGCAGCTTTGCGCTCAGCACAGGTGGCTCTGGAATGGAGGGCCCTGTGGCCCCAAGGCCCCGGACCAGAGGGACTGATGGGTGAGCCCAGTGCGTGCCTCAGGGCCTGCTCCTCGGCCCTGCTGCTAAGCAGCCTCTACTTCTGAGCCAAACTGTGGAGGACGATGCCAGTGTGGCCCTTCGCCCACCACCCTTTCTTCACCCAGGAACCAAGAAATAGAGGATTGTGTTTTGTTCTGTGGTAATGCATTGCTAAACCCCCAAAGCAGGCAGCTGGAAAGCATGACAAGCCCCCATCTCTGCTCTGGATGGGAGAAGGTAGTGAGTCAAATTGATGAATTCAGCTGAGAAGGCATGAATCCTGTTTCAGGAAGAATAATCCCTGAGACAGACATCCAGGCACCCGGCCAGCTCTCTGCCAGCCCTGCTCACCAAGCCCACAGGATGGTTGCCCTCTTCCTCCTCGCTGACCACAGAAATAAAACAGCACTTTGCTTCAATGTACATATATATACACATAGAGACACCCACAAACTACACACCTATGCATCTGTACCTATATCTATATATATGTAGAGTTTGGAAAGCGGGATGGAAGTCTAGCCCTCTCCTAGCACTTAAAAAAAAAAAACTGAAGCAGAAGCGGAGGCAGAGAGCAGTAAAGCCATCACTTTCCTCTTCACTGTCAAAGACCTTTGACCAGGAGAACAAGTCGACCTTGTGAAGAGGGGAGCAGGGGGGGGAGGCAGACATCTCCCTGTGCCCAGTTCACCTCCTGACCGCTGCCCACAGCCGAAAGGTCTCCCCACGCCCACGTCCTGAAGAGGAAGCCAGGCTTGGAGGAGACTGTGGCACTGCCTGCGGTGTAAACAGGCAGAACAAAGGTCTGAGCAGCCCAGAACACCCGGCCAGGTCAGGCCTCCATGGAGGGGCAGCCCAGGCCCCGGCGCCCGTGCCCACACATCCCCCCTGGCCCCCAGCCCAGCATTCTCGCTCAGGGGGCACTTAGAGTTGCGTCGTCACAGCAGAGTGGCATGGCCGGGGTCATCGTGATCCATGCTGTTGAGGATCGCTGTCTGGTCTTCCGGAAGCTGGCGATGGCACAAGTCCGAGAGGCGGGCAAAGGGGTCTGGCCGAGAATGTCTCTTCTTCTTTCGGAGGCAGACGGCTTCATCGGGCCACAGAACCTGAGAGTTTGGAAGCTGCGGAGCCTGGGAGGCAGGGCCGTCTAGAGGGGGGGGACACGCGCACGAAAGAGATGAGAAGAAAAGAAAGTGGGTGACAAGGAAGACCATGGCCTACTCACCTGTTCATCTGCCAGGGCACAGGCCCTGGGTTTCTGGCGTTACACAAAGGGGTCACCCGCGTGTGCAGGAGACCGGAGCGAAGGGCAGCAGAAAAGCCACCTTCCTCACCACCAAGACTGCCAACAGCCCACGGCTGCTCCCCCAGTTCTGACAAAGTTGGAAAGGTGATGTGGATCTGGTCAATCAGTATGTATATTTTACCTTTTATTTAATATTAAATGTATTTATTTAACATTTTATATGGCATTTGTTTTTTCTTTTCATTAAAGAAATATTAATATGCCTTTTTTGTGCCTCCTGACTACTCAGGGCTGGGCTTGGGACTGAACACATTTTTTCCATCCTCCATCCTTCCCTTCGAGCAATGATGGATTTTACACAAAATTTCCATCACGTGCAGTAGTAAGGCCTGACCCTTCCTGGACATCCCGGGGCACTCCTCTGCCCCGCAGCCTTTCTGGGGACAGAGACAAAGTCCTTGCTCTTCAGAAGATTCTAGTTGAATGCAGGGGTGAGAAGGATGAGACAAACTGTACAGACATCAAAACTACAGAAATAAAATTTCAGGTATTGCAAGTACCACAAAAAAAAGATAAAATAGGATCATAGCCTGTGACTGAGACACTGCTACTCTCTGAAGGAGAAACATTGAGTCTTGAATCATGAGGCTTCAAAGGTCTGAGGGCAGAGCACTGCCCACAGAAGGCACATCAGGCATGAAAGCCATGAGCTGAGAGCAAGAGTGACATGTCCCAGGGACAGAAGAAAGGCCACTGCAGCGGAAGCAGAGTGAGCAGAGAAACTGAGTCAGGACTGACAGACGGGGCATCCTAAGGAGTTTGAAATCTGTTCTGGTTTGGGTGGGAAGCTTCTGGAAGGCTTTAATGAGAAGTGTGCGTGTGTGTGCACGTGCCCCTGACCAAAGGGGAGGACACGTTCCTACATTTCCTACAGATCGTCTGGTTGCTAACAGTGCAACCTGCTGCAGAAGGAGCCAGGACGGAGACACGAGGGCCCGTTAGGGGCTCTGGCAACCGTCAAGGCGAGAGATGAGCGTGAGTCAGAATTTACTTCTTGTGGGTGAAACAGAAAAAAGTGGGTCGGATTCAGAATTTGTTTTCAAAGCTGAGCCAATAGGCCTGACCAAATGGATTGGGTGGAAGACATCAGAGCCAAAGGAGACTCGAGGTAGAGTAGCCTGAGCAACTGGGTTGGTAGCAGTGCTATTTATGAAACTGGGGGTGAACCGAAAAGCAGATTTGGAGAGGATGACCAATAACTTTATTCTGGGCATTATAAAGGATTATAAAACATCCAAATGCATGTTTAGCAAGCAACCGTAAATATGAGACTGGAGCTCATGGAAGAGGACTGGGCTAAAGGCAGGGGGAGCACCCCAGGGCACAGGACCACTGTAACAGAGCAAGAGAGAACATGGGCACCTGATGTGGCTCTTTTGGGGGAAAAAGATGATAGATAGATAGACAGATAGATAGATAAGAAAAATCTTAGGCTGACGTGAGCTTATGTAAGTTGAAAATTCAGCTTTTGGATCTAATTTCCCACCCAAACTCCAAAATTTTCATTTTCTTTTTCTCTACCTCAGTATTCCCATCTATAAACTAACAGGATCCTAGCACCACCCACAGGCTAAGTGAGAAATGAGTGCTCACCTTCTGCCCAAGATTCAAGGGGCCCCTGTATATTCCTTTTCTATAACCCAGTCTCTAAAGAAAGTCAATGTACGATAGTTATTAAAGAGCTGCAAAAAAGGGAAAACTATTCCACGGTCTTCTCTGACTGCCTGTCGTGTTCTTTAAACCACTGGTAAAATGAGAGGATGGAGGAACTACGAAGGAATGTTCTACATCTGAAAAGGGGCTGAACTGTTTTTATACCAGCTTAGAAGCTATCTATTACTGATGGACACATTAGACATAATGCGACAGAGATGTCCTTTTTCCAAAATGAGATTTCGCCATCCAAGAATAGTCTAGTTTGCCTGCAGAAGCTGGGTCTATGCCACAAAGTCCGCCAAGCACTGAAAAAGACCCCATAATTCCCATGTCCAACTGGACGGCCTGAAATGATATGGAGAAAATATATAAGGAAATCAGAGAATTCCCAAGGCATATTACAAAATGGAAAAAACTAAGACACCATTTATGTTGTTTAAAAATACAGTAAAGCTGAATAAACAGAAAAGCTCTTGAAACCCAAGAGGAATGATTCGCAGGTGGAAGGAAACAGAATTGGAAGGACAATCAGACATTTTAACCCTATCTTTCTTATTTTTTACATGAAAATTATATTTGTGTATTAATAGAAAATTAGTGTTAAAGAGAAACAAAGAACAAGTTAACTGATAGATTAAATTCTAACAAAAAGCCAAGACTTGGACCCTGAACCAAATAATCCCATGATAATGGCGGGCAAGGCGGAAAGAGAGGAGCAAGATGCTTCCCGCCATTTACCGGATCGTTTCTTTGACTTCGAAGAGCCCTTGGATGGCTTTTTGGGCTTCCTTATCCGTTGGTATTTCAGAGCCTCCAGCCTCTCAGGTGCGGCAGCATTCCCGGGTGCAGGTGGATGTGTTCTGGAAAGGGACAATTAGAAAGGCACAGGTCAACCCCCAGAACAGGGAGTTTTGGAATCAGAGTGGGAAGAAATCCGAAGAGCTGGCCCATAGAAAGACAGAGTATAGTTCTGTGGAGTACCGGGTGTCCACAAGGGGTCCTTGACTGCTGTGTCTTTCTATTGCTCCTGGAAGGGAGAACACCCACCCAGTAGAAAGCTCTAGCAGCAGGAGGCCTACCTCAGACGGAAACAAATCTTTGAGCACCAGAAGACCTAAGAAAGGGAGAGAGAGACTTTAATAGTAAGTGCCATCATGCAGAACTCAAGCAGGGAGGGGGAAGGTCAGCGAAGGAAGCACCTTCAGCATCTGAAGTTCTTAGAAGTCATCACAACCAAGACCTTTAAATGAAAAGGGCAGATTAAAGCAGGAGCAACCCCAACCCCAATCCACTGCCCTCCTCCAGCAAAGAGAAGATCAGGGCCAAACAAGGAACCCGGCTTCCTAGGGCTCCTTCCTCTCCATCTACAAGGGTCAGGCAGAACCCAGCAGCTAAGAGCACCGAATACTTGTCATCTACCAACATTGCAGCAGTTCCGGCTCCCTGACCGTCCGCAGATGGGGCTCAGGTGTCTCCAGTCATGTAAGAGAATAAAAGAGGGTAGAAGTAGGTTACAATGATTACAGTGTCCAAATCTGCCGCCTTGCAAAGCCCATGACACCTGTAGCAAGTATCCAATGAACCCCTCTATTGTAAGAAGCAACGGAGGAGCCGAGGTTGTTGGGAAAGGAGACTGTGTATACAGGTCTCTTTCTCTCCCAGCCGAGCGGATAGTGCCGTTTGCCTGATGGATCGAATGCATGGTTAGAATAAAATCAATAATTTAAGTGAAGCCTGTGCAGCCCAGGTGACAAAGGGGACTAAAGACAGCTAAGAGGAAGGACTGCCTATGACAGACAATCTGTACTTGACAGAGAGAATTTTCAAGAGTTCATAAAAGAAGAAAATCTAGATCTGTTATGAAGGGCATTCCTTCCCCACGTAGGCCAAGCTTGGAGCCTGAGAAATAAAGGGGAAGAGAGATACAGGTCACTCTTACTTTCCTACCAGTGCATTCACAGTCATGGACTGTTTTTACACCACCTTTTACATCACAGTCTGAGTTGCCCTGTGACACATTCTAGGGCTACGGTGAATCCCGCTCTGCCTTGATCCCTGCAGCTGCCGCTTCCATTCTATCACCATTAGTTTGGGGTAAATCCTGATTCAAGGGAGCAGGAAAAGATACCCTGTGAGTGGAAAAGAAGTCCCCACTGGTAAACAAGCTACTCGAAGTATTTTTTAAAGTGATAGAGAGATGGGAAGATCACAGCTACATCACCCCAACATTGGATATCTTTGTGGGAATGAGGAAGAAGAAAGTTACAGACTAACTGTAGCTAGGTCTCTGGTTTCTGGGGCTTCCTGCATTAATGGGCCATGAATGCAGCAAAGAAGATGAAGCAACCTTCATCTTCTTTGATGGATGCCACCATTATATAGCCCTTTAGTAAATAAAGTATCAAGAAACTCCTTCCAAGTTCAGATCAGAGACAACTTCTTGATGGTCCGCAGCCCCCTGACAGCACAGAGATAGGCAGCCCAACCCACGTGTGCGTGAAGGCACACACAGCCCAACTCACCATTAGAAGCCAGGTCTTCCACCCCCAAACACCCAAGCTGCCAGTTCCCCATTCCTTCCTCTTTCACAAACTCCGTTTTCTACCCACAGCGATCCCACACAGCAGCAGCAGCAGCAGCTGGAAGGGAATTTGGAAGGCAGGCAAAGGATGGAGATGGCAAGGGCATGGGGGGCATGACTTTCCAGTGCTGGCGGAATGTCCTCACCCCCTTCTCATCCTTGACTAAGGCTTCTTCACGCTGCCTAAAAAGAAAATCACAGACATAAATCTTCCGCTCAGTGCATCTGTCTCCAGGTCCCAGCCAGCCTCCTCAGAAGGACCGAGTGATGTACGGTCCGAGGAGGCATATGAAAAGCCAGTGGACCTCAGAAGCCGTGCTTAAACACACCATCTACTAGGACATGCAAGAAACTGGTACAGGGTGATCGTAAAAATTCTGCAGCTTCTCTAAGCCAGGTGAAACTTCCAGGGGTGTTTTTATTAATACAACCAGCAAACTGTTGCCATTACCGTTTTTATCGCATAGCATCTGTTTTACTACTTACCGTGCCAGGCCCTGGCCTATGTCCTCTACAAGGATTTCCTTCGATCCTTACAACAACCCTGCGAGGTAACTAGTGCGCTGAGCCCATTTGTCAGATGGAGAAACTGAAACGAGTGGCTCATCCGATTATCCAGTCACCATGGGACAGAGCCGAGACTTTCAACACTAGGCTAACCTATTTTTCCAACCTCTTCCTAATAAAGCAGGTATAGAACTTGCATCGAAGAAAAAAACTGCTTCCACATGTCATTTGAGAACTAAATCTGCTGACTGAACTGGCGTTCTTGGCTGTGGAGGCAGAGCCAGGGTGAGACGCACCAGGGAGGGAAGGGCTGGCTGCTCCAGGCAGCAGCTCTTCACTCCAGCAATGACAATGCCTGGAGCAGGGTCAGCCCGTCCGCTCTCATGAAATAGCCAAGCTCCAGCCCTTCCGGGACACCTGCTGTTTTTTTGGCTCAGCTCTCAAACAGAAACACGGCAGAAGAAGGCTCGTGTAGGCACCCAGACACTCTCCCAAAGCAGAACAGAAAACCACAAGCAAGTGTCTGGAAAGACAGGAGAGAGGAAGGGAGAAAGAAAGGGAGGGAGGAGGGCCAAATGGGTCTTTATTTTAGCAAGTTATACAGAAAAGACACATGAAACATGGTCCAGCAGATTTCACCTGCAGCATGGTAAAGCCCTTTGGCATCAAATTGCCTCCATTTTCTTGGAAGGGTGACCATGACCCCTATCAGTGTCAAGCTCACCAGGGGGACTTCCAGGTAATAAAGCTTTAGGTGCTGGTGTCTCCCTGAAAGCTCGGGTGAAGCAACTCCATCTATCCCTTCAATGAGGCCAGCAAGTACCTGTTAGAACAGAATCCAGCCCTGGGCTCTCCAGGAAGCTGAGGAGATACCAGTTCTCTTTCTAATCAGCCTCAACTCTTCCCAAACCTACTGCAGACTCTGGGGTGCTCCTTCTCCCAGGAAGTCGGGGTACTACTGAAAGGTGAGTGCCTCCAAGCTCAGGTACTTTTCTGGCTCTTCCCCGCTGCCTTTTGCATAAACTGCAGCACTCTGTTCCAGCAGGGTCTCCTTGCAGTTCAGAATCACCAAAAACTGCCGAGAATTTTACTTTCACACTCTTCCCTGCCCCTCTCTCTCTTCATAAAATCCACACAAAACCCAAATCATTTAGCTGAACTTCTCTTAGCTGCTTAGCTCTACATTGACCTGGGGTCGTGGAGGAAAGACACAACCTGATTCAAAATGTAGGCAAACCACAGGACAGGAAAGTCAAAATCCAAAAGCCATTAGGGTACTTCCTGTCCTTAATGCCCGAAGAGCTGCCGGTGATGACACATTTGCAGCTCTACCCCAGTCAACAGGCAGGAGCAATGATTTAAAGAGCAATGTCTTCCTCTCCTCAATTGCCTAGAGCAGAGCCTGCTTGTCAGATCGCACACCGCAGCTGGCAGGCCAAGGAAATCACAGATGGACAAGGTGTAGCCCGGAAGAGGGGGATCTACTCCCCACAGACAAAAAGGAAGGCCAGGAGTCTGGGCGGCAGCTGCTACTCCGCTGTGACCACAGATGGTACCTTTCTGGTCGGGTCAGGACACGAACCAAATGCCTGGCCTCGGAAGTCAGGAGCAGCTCGTTCCAAGTGGGAGCTCCTTCCTATGGCTCACCTAGTAAAAGGGCCTCCGTCCACAATTCCAGATGCTCCTGCAGAATCTCCAAAGTTGGGATCAGCAGGAAAGGGGATGCGAGGGAGAGGAAAATGGGAGGCCACTGGACTCAGACAGGGAGCTGGGGCAAGTGCCCAGCGCCCAGCCCCTCACGAAAGGACAGGCCCTCACAGTACAACTCCCCGCGGTGGGAAGGGAGTTGGGAAGAGGAGAAGGGGCAGGGGAGAGAGGAGGAGAGGCAGGAAGACAACCGCAGGTATGGGAGTAGGAACAGGGAGGAGACTGAGGGACGTAGGAACAGAGCGAGACCGGACGCAGACAAGACGTGTCACATGTCCAAGCAAGACCGAGTGGAGACACATGCAAAGGCGCAGCGTGGAGACAGCGTCTGAAGAGAGGCCTGCACCTCCCAATGGCCCCGCAGCAACCGCCCCCTGGGAGGCCTCTGCAAGCAGGAGGGGAGCGGGCACCTGCTGCCCAGCACCGGCAGGCGTGGCTCCGAGGCCGTGGGAGGTCTCCCTCTCCTGGGCTGGGGATGCTGCCTGGCCCGCAGGGAACAACGTTCTCCCTGGGCGGCCCCTGGTGTCTGGGTTTGCCACAGCAGTGAGAGAACGACAGCTTAGCTCCCTCAGATCTGACGCAGTGGGGACAACGGGGAGAAGGGCCAGCGGCTGGGTTGGAGGAGCAAATGAGAACAGGGTCTGGGCACCTTCCAGAAGTGGGATGAGAGCCGTGCTGGAGCTGCCACACCCCTGGGGGGTGGCAAGGGGCAGGTCATAACTGGGCGGCAGGGGAGGAATGCAAGAGAGAGCGAAGGCAGTCCAGCCTCCGCCACTCCAGAGCGCCCGCCAGCAGGCCACAGGAGGCCCTCAGCACAGGTGGGCTCACAGAGACTTCCTGACCCTGCGTGTTCCCCCAATGTGAACAGCCGGAGCGGGAGCTCCCAGCTGGCCTCACACCATCCTGGGGCTGAGGGATGCCTTTCTTATTACTTCGAAAGTCTGATCATCTTGAGTTAGAATGGCCAGGCCTCCTGGACATCCCCAGGGGCACAGGGAGGCAGCTGCACCTTGCTGACTGCAGCCAGAGGCCTCCCTCTCCTGTGTGAGGGAGGCTGGCTCACGCATGCCCTGGAGCACCACAGTGGCACTCACAGCAAGAAGGAAGGGCCTTCCTAGTTACCATGAGAGTGGGTGGGCCTCGCGTAGCCCTAAAATCCTCTAGAAAAGAGCGGACACCCTTCTAACTGCCCTGTTCCTGACAGCCCACCAGGAGGCAGGTGGGAGAGGCGCTGCCTCGGGGGACAGGAGAGGAAGGAGCGCAGCACCACCCCCCCAGGTGCATCCATCTCCTGCCAGCTCCACGTGCTTCTGCCCGGGAGCCTGTCCTCTCCTCTCCAGAGCTCCTCCGAAGACTCTCCCACAGCTGTGCCTCTGGGGCCGGGAGTGGCCACTACAGGGACCTGAGAGCAACTGGAACCTAAGGGGAGGCCCGCATCTCAGTCTCCTAACTGATGGGCTGCAGGATCCAAGGCAAAGGGAAGTGGTGTCATTTCCCTGCTGTGCCCTCAGAGGGCCACGGAGGACCTGGTCCTGGGAAGACCCAGCGGGCCCCTCCTCAAACCACGCTGCCTGACGGGGCTGAGGGTGAGCAAGGCCCCAAGAAGACAGGGAGGGGCCGGCCACCCCAGGAAGCTCTGCGTGTTTGGGGGGCTGGGCAGGAAGGGGCTGCTATGCCTGAGGCTGCTGGGAAAACAGTGCAAAGAGGGATCAGATGTTCCTGGGTACCAGGGTACCCCAGACAGGTTTTTAGGGGTACAGAGATGCAAAGCAGGTCTTAGGCATTCTGGGTCCCTCAGGGTGCATGCAAGGTCCCAAGGGACTTCCATGGAAGCTCTGGGTATGTTGGCAGCAGAATGGCGGGGCATTTGAGTGAGGAAAACTGCAGGGAGGCTGTGGGAGAGAGCTTAACATGTGGGGTGGGGCGAGAAGCTGCAGCTAGGCAGTGCCGAGCGTGGCCTGGGGGGGCGGGTGCTGTTGGAGCAGCATGATGTGGGGCACCCCGAAGCCTTGGGAATCGAGGAGCAGAGGCCGCCACCCCCACAGAGGGGGTGAAGGGACATGGTCTTGAGTCCCCCGTAGAGGAAGCAATGGCCCTGCCAAAGCCCCGTCCGCCTGTCCACCCCCCGCCCCGCCCCGCCACGGAGCTCCCTTACCTATTGAGCTGAGGAGAGGCTTGTCTCGACAACACTGCCCAGATAGCTGAGATCAATCAGAAACAAAGCAGTTATCAACACAGGCCTGGGGGAACCACCCACGCACACCCAGAGGGGGGGGAGCACAGGGACCAGAGAACCGACGAGGAGCGAGGCCAGAGAGTGGGGTACAGGGAAGGAGAGGAGAGAGACAGAGAACCAGACGCGACAATGGGACAAAGCAGATGAGAGCGCGGCAGAGCGGACGACAGGGCTGCGCCCAGACACTGGCACAGACACTGGCATGCCCACCACAGCGCCCCCGCCTGGCGCACTAGCTAGAGCCGTCCTCCACCGCCGGAGGCCCACTCCCTTCGCCCCGCCAGGAGCAGGGTGGGGGGCGGGAGGTGAGGCTTGCACTTCCAGGTACCAGACAGGGTGGGAGTGAATGGGGCAGGGGAAGGGCGCCAGGCTCCCTCCTCCTTGGCCGCAGTCCATCCTGCCTACCACCGGGCCAGCCCCCTCTGGAACTCTCTGCTCCCCTGCACAGGCAGCCACATCAAGACCAAAGGACGGAACCAGAAAGAGAGGAGAGAGAAAGGAGGGAGGGAGAGAGGAAGGGAGGTCGGGCGGGCCTGGGGGAGCACTACCAAGGCACTGCAGGCTCTTCTGAGCACGCTGGCCACCCCGAAGAAGAAGGAGAAAACCAGACATGAGGAGGAAGGAAAGGGAGGAGGTGGAGAAAGAAGGAGGGCAGAAGAAAGACAAGAGAAAAAGAGGCACAGACAGGTGTCCAGGCTGACTGGTACCTGGAATACCAGCTGCTACTGTTTAGAGTGTGCTCTCTCAGGCAGGCTGATCGCAGGAGCTTGTCTGTCTGTCTGTCTGTCTGCAGCTTCCTGCGAGGCACACCAATCGGGGTGGGGTATGTGGCTCCAGGCACATAATTCATAGCCTGAAATTTGGCTCCCAGCCTCCAGGATGTGCCCCCGGAGAGGCTGTGTGGGGCCCCAAAGCTCACTAGGCTGTTAAGGGCAGGGTTTGGGAATAGGAGCGAGCCCCTGGCCTAGTGGTTCAGAAAAGCCAGGCTTTGGGTCCTGCTAAGCAAGGAGGGGTGGGTGCTGGGGAAGAACAGGAGACTGGGGGCAAGGTCTCTAGGCACACCCTGGAACCAGCCCTAAAGTCAGAACACAGGGACCTGGTGAGCTCTCCACTCCATGAGAAATGAGGGTAACCACTCACTGGGACATGCCTCGCCCCCCCTTGCCCATGTGTGCCCACACCCAGTCACCCCAGGGCCCTCCTGAGAGCTCTGGGCTGGATGAAGATCCCTCATGCCCCTGGCAGGGGACCTGGACAGATACGCCCCACCCTGTGCCAATGACCACGCCCTGCTGAGGCCAAGACCAGAACTCCTCTCCAGAAGGGATGCTGCAGCACGTCCAGACAAGCCCTGTCATTCTGGTTGATGGAAGGGTGGAGGGCGGGGCAGGAAGACGACCAGGTGAAGGTGGGCAGGAGAAACCAGCTCACACTCACCCTGAAGAAGAAATCTGTGGTGGGGGGGGCTCTGGTCTGAGCAGCTCCTCCCCCATCCTTCGAGGGGAAGGCGTCTGTCCAAACACATCCAGGTTGTCCGCAGGCCCTGCAGGGCCTGGAGGAGGGGAGGGGTAGCCCGTGGCCACAGTGCTGAAGCCCACGGAGGGCCGGTAGCTGGGGCTCCCGCTGCGGCTGCTCTGGGACGGGGAGCCCGTGGATGGTGTGGACTTGCAAGAGAAGCTGACGGCGGCTGGCGGCTGCAGGGCGATCTCCGACATCTCGGCCTGCTGTAGGAGGCCAGGGCGAGGCCGGGCCCGGGCAGCGAGCTCAGGAGAGCCAGTGCGGGAGCTGAGGGGGCTTTGGGTCAGAGGTGAGAGCCGGGAGGGCTGTAGCACCACTTGATGTAAACTGGGCTCGGTGCGCCTGGCCTGCCGGGGGCTGGGCCGGGGCCGGGGCTGGGGCTCATACCACCGGGTGTCCAGGCCAAATGTGCTGGGGCCACCGTGTCCCCCCGGCTCAGCGGGCTCGGGGTAAGGCAACACGGGTATGCCCATACCTTGGCTGGTATGTCTTAGCTGCCCTTGGCTCACCAGAGGTTGCATAGGTCTGTCCTGCCACTTGGTGGCAGTGGGCACTGGCACAGGGCCCCTGCCCGGTGTCTTGCCTGCCCAGCCCTTTGGTGCCTCCAGAGATAGCATGCCCGGGTAGGCTGAGGGCACCTGCAGGGAGGTGGGGGGCAGTCCTCGGGGGAGGCAGGCCTTGGGCTGCAGACTCTCAGCTACATCACAGGGGTGTAGCTGGTGCGGGAACATCATGGCTGGGGTTTCCAGACCCCCAAAGGGGAATTCTGGCCGACCCCAGGGCTCAGGGGAGCGCCCGCCCGTAGGTGTCTGAGTCAAGGGCAGCGTGCTGTTGGAAGCATTCTCTCCGTTTTCCTCAGGGATGGTGGGGTGGCCAAAAGGCCCCTCAGTGTGCAGGGGCGGGGAGGACATGACAGAGCTCAGGGGACTGCCCACTTCCGGCATGTAGAAGGGTGGCGGCTCCACTTCCCCCGGGCTGCTGCTGCTGAGGTACCCGTAATACTGGCCGTGCTGGAAGGGCCGGGGGGCAGGGGGCCTGGCCTGGCCGGTGGCCTGGAGCCGGCCTTCCAGGCCGCTGGGGCCCTCCAGCCCACGGGGCTGGAACCTCGGGCTATATGCTGGTGGTGGCAGGTAGGACTCCTGGCTGGATGACAGAGGGGTCAGCTGGGACTTCAGGGCAGCCACGGATGTGGGCACAAGCGGGTCCTCATTCTCCTCATCAGACTGGCGGAACTCAGGGTACATGTCCGTCTCCTCCGCAAAGGGAAAGCCCTCGATGCGCCTGCCCTTCACCGGGGGCTCCACCTCGGAGGGACCCATCACGAAGCGGCCGTCAGGTCCTCTGCTGATGAGCTCGATGGGCGTGGTGGCCTCGGCCTCAGCCTCGGCCTTGGCCACACTGTACTTCTTGCTGCTGATGGCCCTCTTGGTCTTCTTGTACAAGGACAGCTCCTTCTCCCGGGTGGGACTCAGCATTCTCTTGGCTGCCGGCTGGCCCTGGTCGTCAGAGGATTCTGACGGGGCCCGGAGCGTCCGGACGCTCTCTGGGCTCACCTTGCCCGAGGACAGGCTGTGGGAACAGGTGAGAGAGCAGCAGGGCTCATCACTCCTCCCTGTTCTCTTAGCAAACACCAACCACAAACGTCTGGGGAGACAGGGCTACGGAGAAGGACCGCAGACGGGCAGCACGGTCGGGCGCAAAGCTCTGGGGCAAGCTCCCAGTTGTCTTGATGTGTGTCCTGAACACCCATGTCTCTGGTTTGGTGCCGCCCCACCCCTATCGTTTGCCTTTCTCTGTCTGGGCAAACCTGCGGCTTCCCTCCCGGGTGGCTCACGAAAGGCAAGCTCATTTCAAGATGAACACAAAATTAAGAAGGCAAATCTGTTAGGATGACCAAAATGTCACAGAAATACATTTAGAAGCTAAAGAGAAATGGGTATTCCGTAAACTGGATTGTCTACACCACAGCTCCTTCCGAGAGCAGTGTGGACCACTTAAAACTGCCGAGCAGATCAAACACCAGCACAGCTCAGCAGGGCTGGGAGGTGGCTCAGCGGGCACAGCACCTGCTGTCGGCGCCCACACCCCACAAGCAGCACATCCCATTCTCCAGGGCCCGGGGCACTTACGGAGACTCCAGGCTCTTCCTGCAGTGAGTGATGGAGAGTGGAGGGTCTAGAAGGGAAAAATGGAGAGCCTGCTGAGGCCCAAGACAACAAAACACATTCCAGCTGTCCAGAGAGCCCAGAGCAGAGCCACGGTGGATGCACCTCCTTTCAGCACCTGGCTGGCGCCTTTGGGTCCAGTTCAGCATCCTGACGCCACACCCAGGCCCCACCTTCCCCCACCTCTGGTCCACGAGACTTTCCCCACCACCCCCGCTTCCTTCTTCCCCCTCTCAAATCAAGTCCACTGGCTGATCTAGCCACAAGATCCCACTTCTCTCTGCAAAGGGTGCTGTGCTAAAAATGGGCTGTCTCTCCTCACGGGGAGCTTTTGAAACTGAGCCAGCTAGAGCAGGGGGGTGGGGTCGACACCCACCTTTTTTGCGCTTGAGCTTACGCTTGCGCTGCTTGTTGACAAAGCAGGCAGCCAGAGTGCTAAACAGGATGGCAGCTGCCAAGAAGCAGATGGTAGCTACGATTCCAGCCAGCACAGGGCGCGCTAACCCATCATCGGTCAGGTCCGGCTGCGGGAAGATGTCTGCAGGGAGGGGCAGGGAGCATTCGTGAGTCCCCTCCTCTCCCCAAGAAGCCCTCTGCTCTGACAGCGACCCCCGGCGTTTTTCCTGCCTCTGCAGTGCAGACGATTTAAGGCTGGGCCCCATGCTCAACTCAGCCCCGAACACATGTGTGTGGCAAAGGAGGAGAAAAGAGGGGTGACTACATTAGACAAGTAGTCACCACACAGCGAGTCCAGAGGAGACGGCACCCAATCCTACCCCTATGGGGATAACAATTTCAACGATGATCTAGTGCTTTTTGTCCAGCGCTGTCTGCAATACGTTTTCGCACATATTGTCAGATATTCTCACATTAACTCCATGAGTGGACAGAGCATGCATTATTGTCCTCCTTCCCTAAGTAACAAATCTGGGCTCAACTGAGTTTGAGTGACTCGCTTGCACAGATTCTGTGTGTATCGCGGCCGAAGCCACACTCCATGCTTCTGACTTCCAGTCCAGGGTTTCCTGCCTTCCCGCACAGAGAGCTCAGGCGGGGGCTCCTTGAGGGGGAAACACTACTGCCAGGAGAGGGGTCAGGAGAGGGGTCATGACCACACAGCGCACTTCCATCCATTCCTAACTCCTCACTCTGCAGGCGCCCAGTCTGCAGGGAACCGCAGCTCAGGCCCAGAAGGCTGGAAGCGGCAGGGACATGGTTAATGGGCCTAATTTCCTCGTGTTGCAGGCAGAGAACTGAGGCTCACCTTGTGCCCAGACCCGCGGTGCTCATTACTGGCAGAGCCACGACTCTCCCTCGGTCTCCTGTGCTACACTGCATGGGGCACTGCATCAGGGAGTGCCGCTCCTTAGCACCATCAAGGGGGAAATCCACACATCCTGATACCACTGGCCAGAATCCATGGCCATGTCGATAACAACACAGATTGAAAAATCCAAATCATTCTGACTGGCTGAGTAGAGAAATGAATGCTAAAGTCTTTGGAAACAGGGGCCTTAAATTCGGGGAAGGCTGAGGCTGCTGTGTCCGTATTCCCCATGAGGAATCTCCTAACCGTGTGGGTTTCTTTTCGGGAGCCAGACACAAAGCCCCTGAAAGAAGAACAGTTGGCGGAGCTGGGCGCCCCGGAACCCCCCCTGGCCTTGGCTGCAAGCTCCATTCCCTGTTCCTCCATCTCTGAGACCCTGCCCTGCAGGGAACACAAGACAGACGCATACTGGGCTCTGCTGCCAGAGGAAGTACTTTTGAACATTAAAAAATTTTTTTAAATTTTAAAAAGCCCCCTGGTGCACGGAAGTCTAACTCCACTCCCCCAAACACTCTCGTGCCACTTCCATCCGCGTGCCTTCTCCCTGGTCTGCCCGCCCCACACTCGGCCGAGCTTCTCGCCAACTGGGCCCCGGAGTAGTGTCCATGGAAATGGGGCCTTTGCTTTACCACTAAGCAAGCGCCTCTTCCCACACCAGGGGAACCACTTCATGGGGAGACAGGGGCCCTGCTGTGTTTTAGAAACCATCGCTGGAGAGAGATGTGTAGAAATGGGACCAGGGGAAAGAAAAAGAAAGAGAAAGAGAAAATGCTAGGGAGTTGGCTTTATTGAGCTGGGAAAAAATCTGGGGAGAGGAAGGAGCGGAGGGAAGCAACACTAAATGGCAATTTTCCAATAAAATCATCGTAATTACAAAGCAGCCTTATAACAGGCTTTGGGTGGGCACCTGCTGACTGTCGTCTGGGCTCTGACCGATTCATCGCCCCACCTCCACTACAGAGGCTCACAGTGGAGGAAATAGATTTCACAGAAAAATGACTTGAACCAAATTCTTTCTGACCATGGTAACGAGAAGACTAGCCGACTCCCTCTCTGTGGCTATCTTGTAGAAACTTTCATTAATGCGGCTCTCAAGCCGGAGAAATCCCACCTGTCAGGGGAGCAGAAGCTGACAAGGTGAAGCAATGCTCCAGCCCATGCAATCTCCACCGGGACTCTCCACTATCTCTAACTCAGGCTCTCTTCCTGTATTAGCCATTTCCTGAAGGGACTCCCCATGTGGCTCTGGGGCTTATTGTCCCTGCAGTTGCAAAGGAAGCCCCACCCCCAAAGTACCTGTGCTGGAGACTCCGGCGATGTTGCTGGGCTCGCTGATCAGATCCTGCATGACGGCCAAAACCCGGAACTCATACCAGGTGTCCTACAGCCCCAGGGACAATACCTGTCAGCCAAGGAACCTGAGACGGCCACTGACCGCCACAGACCCACCGTCACGGACCCTGCAGTGGTGTGTCATGAACTCGGCACCCAAAGCCCTCGCTACTGCAGATGTTTAACAACCAGCTCTCAAGTCTAAAAAAGCCCTGACTTGCAGCATCTGCCCATCGCTACGCTGTAGCTGCTCTGACCGTGGCTGATTTGGGGCGAGGTCACAGAAAGGAGAGCTGGGGCTCCCGAGAGCCACCACAAGCCAGTTCCAGCACTGAAGGAGTGCTCAGGGAAGGAAGACAGAAACAATGAAGTGAGTTGCTTCCTCTCTCCAACCAGACAGACATCAAAGTTCGGAGGAGATCCGTTGGGAAAAAATACAGTATCCTCCGGGGCCCTGAACTGTTACGGGGAGAAGCCAGAAGATGTCCACCTGGGAAATCTCTGTCCGTCACTGTTAGGCCTGGAGTGCGGAGCCAAGGTCAGTGTCTGGTGGCACATCCTGGGCCCCTGCCCCGCCCCGCCCTAGGCTGTGTCAGCGACACAACTCCCACCGCCCCAGTTGGTCCTCAATCTGGGGGACCTTGGCCCCCCAGTCTGGGAGGACACATGGATAGGGCTGGGGTTCACTAGGGTGTGGCCACACCTCACCCACCCGAGCTGGGTCATTCATCACTTCCAGTGACTCTAGAAAGAGTCCTGTCACTTCGAGGACTGGGGAAGTAGAAGCAGGGGGCAGCTAAATTCTCACCTGTGATAGATCCTTGGCAAAGAATTCCCCATCAGTGCCTGGGATGGCATCATCCAACATCTCCCAGCGCTCTCCGACGCGGAACTCCATGACGTAGCGGTCAATGGGAAAGCTGTGGTTGGCAGGTGGGAGCCAGGACAGGAGCACGCCCTGCTGGGTCCGATTGGCTGTGAGGCACCTCGGTGGGGTAACCAGCACCAGGGGTTCTGGAGTAGTGATGGGGGATGCTGCAGCAGGCAGAGAGAGGGAGACGGCGCAGGTGTGCTGAGGCCGCGCATCCTCACTGCCCGTGCTGTCTTCCGGCTCAGCATGCGTCCCTGGACACCATGGCCCCAGGCAATGGTTGCATGGCACACGCCAGTGCATGGGTCATTTCAGGGGCAAGCGTGCCACAGAAAAAAGCCCCCCAAGCCAAAGGAAGGGGGCATAGCAAGTGGGTCCAGAGCTTCCTGTTCCTGCTCTCAGAGCCCTTCCAAAAGTCTCCTGGAAGGGGATCAAGTGCCTCAGAAAAACTAAAGATAAAAAATGAGAACTAGCCTTCACTGGTGTAGCTCAGTGGATTGAGCGCACGCTGCAAACCAAAGGGTCACCGGTTCGATTCCCAGTCCAGTCACATGCCTGGGTTGAGGGTCAAGTCACCAGTAGGGGGTATGCAAGAGGCAACCACACATTGATATTTCTCTCCCTCTCTTTCTTCTTCCCTTCTCTCTAAAAATTAATTTTAAAAACCTATTTAAAAATGGCAACTAGAGGGAAGAAGAATTAAATGTAATTATCTTTTTGTTTTTAAGTTTTGTATTTATTTTTAGAGAAGGGAAAGGAGGGAGAAAGAGAAAGAGAGAGAAACATCAATGTATGGTTGCCTCTCAAGTGGCCCCCACTGGGGACCTGGCCCATAACCCAGGCATGTGCCCTGACTGGGAATCAAACCTGCGACCCTTTGGTTCACAGTCCGCGCTCAATCCACTGAGCTATGCCAGCCAGGGCTATGTAATTCTCTTTTTAATAAAATGGTATCTTTACAAAAATACTGCAAAACACAGCTTCTGTTCCCTTCTCAAAGAAGTAGGAATATATTCCCGTACTTCTAATTCCCTTCCTGGCCCAGGTGGAAAGCCACAGCCCAGTGAGGGGAGATCCTACTGCCCCCTGGGTGGCAGTAAAGCAGGCTGGAGTGGGGCCACTTGTTCCTACCCACACTCTCTGGCTCCAGATGGGACAGAGTGAGCCACTAGGTCCAGGAAGGAAGAGTTGGCCACACGCTTGTCACCGACTGAGGCTGGGGGCCAGAGGAAAGTAGGAGCAGAAGATTCCCCATCTCCCCTCTGAAGCCACACAAAGATGCAAACACGTGGCCCGACCGGGACACAATTCAAAGCCTCTTCCCTCCGTCTAAGGATGCAACAGGAATCTGGCCCAAGGTGCTCTGAGGTGGGACCCGACAAGCCTTGCACACTCGTATAACAGACCCTTCTTGGGAGATCAAGTGACAGGACTGCGTAGGGCACTCGGCCAGGTCCCTCGCATGCAGCAGGCAGGTAGACATTAGCTTCCAGAACCTGCCATCGCCATCTCTATATCCCCCGGGACCCCCGGGAAGCACCCTCACCTAAAGTGTTCACAGTGACCACCTCACTGAAGGCGCTGGTCCCCAGCTTGTTCTGCGCCAGGACGCTGAACTGGTACGCTGTCTCAGACTCCAGGGCGTCCACCAGCAACCAGCTGGGTCCCGGAGGAACTGACAGGGACAGCCAGTCGTGGGGTCCGAACTGCGCCCGCTTCATCCTGACCGAAGGAAGAGAGGAGACCCAAGACGATGGGGTGGGGTGGGTCACACTGGAGACACAAGGGAGCGTGCGTGGGCCTCCTGGAGAAGGCCGTCTGTGGGCCCGGCCTTCCTGGGCCCCAGGAGCAGGTAACGGCCAAGGAGGGGTGCCCTACCCAACTCGGGGTGAGCCAGGTCACCAGCCAAGACTGCTACCTCCTTTTCCAAAAGGGACGTTCGGGCGTCAGTAATGCTCAAAACATGGTCCGACTGTATCCTGGGATACTGGTGCCCTGGTCCTATCTCTCAGAGTGGCTCTGCTTTGGGAAAGTGCAGACAGGACACTGGACACAAGGCAGGTGTCACAGTACAGAAGCCAAGATGAGCCATTGGGCAGCGACAGGACGGAGGAAGGAACCCAGATGACCTCAGCAGCCCTGCTCCCAGGGGCAGCCAAAAATGGGGCCTGGAGCAGCCGAGAGAGCTCCCTCAGGCCAGCCAGTTTTGTGTCAGGCGAGCAGGTCCTGGGTGTATGACAAGGATGACCTGGGGTCTCTCCACAGTGGGTACCAGGATTCCTAAGGCCTCACAGGTTAGAAATCGCAACAAAGGAAAAGCTCGCATGGTTTGTGGAGGGCACTGATACTCTTTCTCCACAGCCCACCTAACGCCATCGTCTGCCATGAAACCAGCAGTCTACAGGTGCAGTGCCCAGCACCACCACTGGGGGGAGCCAAGGCCCCGTGGACTGAGATGCTACGCAGCCTCTCAGTTCTGAGCTCTGGTTTAGGGTATGCCCACCATTTCCCCTTTAGGTTAAAGGCTCAACATCATGTGAGCCCAGAAGTTGAAGCTGAGGCAGCAGAAACCACAGCAAAAGGAAAAAAAAAAAGCTAGCTCCCAATATCTCAGTCAGTAAGTACACAGAGAGTTAGAGGCAATCAGAAAGAAAGAGGGAAGGATGGGTGAAACATCCCACCTTTTCACCCACCCTTCGCCACCCAGGCACCAAAGCAAGTGTGCAAAGTGTGAAAAGCAACACAGGTGAGCAAAAGCATGGAGCAAGCCACAAGCAGTGAGGGGAGCCCTATCTATGCCCAGACCTTCCAACAGGCACCCCCGAAGGTGGCTGGGCCATGCCAAACACAGCCCCAGCCAGGGAGCTGCCCAGCAGTGAGGGCCGTGACGCTGCAACAGCCACTCAGCCGGGTCAGGAGCGCCCGCCTCGCCCCTGTGCAGCCCGCGCAGGACTAGAGTGGGGGGTGCTCTGTGTGAGCCCCAGGCTCACCACCCAGGCCCAGTCTGCCTCTCTAGCAGCCAACATGCCGAGGACAAAGACCAGGAAACACGCGCCATTTCACCACGGAGGGAAGGCGAGCAGGCTCCCTCTGGGCTTCCCTCGCTGCTGAGAAGTGCACCGAGGGCTCTCCCTGAATCTGCAGGCAATTTCCTCTGGAGAATGAGGCTTCCTCCCCCAGGCCCTGGCAGAGTCTGGCAGGGAACGCCCACCCGGACAAGCCCGGTCTCCTCCTTCTCAAGGAAGAAGTGTGGGGGCTCCTCCTCCCCGCCCAGGGCTGACCCCGTGACCTGGGTGGCCGGTCCTTGGCTCAGGGTAGCAATGTGGGGACAGGGAAACCCAAAGGTGATGAAAGGGGTCAGTGGTGCCTTCCCTCCCCCTTTTCTGTCCCTCAGCTGCTCAGCCTGATTCGTGCAGCTTTGAGACCTCTGTGTAACCCAAGGTTTGGGCAAAGGCAGCGCACCACTGCTCTGCCTAACTTAGTAACAGAGATGTAAACACAACAGGAACAGCCCGAGAGAGAAAGTGCGGGTGCGGAAGCCCGGCCGGGAAGGTGAACGGCCCTTCACACTGGTTTTTGGAACCACTGGGGAGGGGCAGAATGAAAATCAGCATCTGCACTTCTGGCCGGGCTGCTTCACATGCCCTTGATGATGAGAAGTCTCTTCCAGACTCCAGAGGACACGGATGATGAACCACGGACACAGGGGACGCAGGGAGATAAGCTGGGAGGAAGCGGCAGAGGCCATGGAAGCAGCAGAGGGCCACAGCCCAGACTGGCTCCCCAAACCTCCCGGGCCAGGAATACAGGAACGCCCAGAGTCCCGTAGACACACCCATCCTGCACGGGGCTGTGGTGTCAACACGCCTCATGGTCTGGCAGTCTGGTAAAGGACCGTAGCCTTCTCATGACCTCCACCCACCCTGGGGAGGGACTGGAGTGGGGGTGGGGAGGGAGAAGCAGAGAGCAAAGCATGCGGGGCTGACTCACAGAGGTCCGTACCAAACTGAGAATGTCTGCTCGAATCCTCCATCATAGCCTGGCTCCCAGGACACGTTGGCAGTTGTCATGGAGACCTGGACCCGGACACTGCCTGGGGCATGGGGGCTGGTGCCTGGAGACCAAGTGGAAAACTGAGTCCACTGCGGTCTCCCAACAGCACAGAACTGAGCCCACTGGGCTGGGCAGCTGTAACCTTGCTGCATCAATAGCAAAAGGAGGTATCGCGTGTGAAGTGAGTGAGGATGGGGTGCACTCTGAGAAGCTGACACTCTGGCCCCCCGGGCAAGAGGACAGGGGGACACCCAGCCCACCAAGCGGTCTAGTCCGTTCAGCAGGAGAGGGCACAGCCCTGGGACCACGGGCCAAAGGGAAACCGGACCCCTCGGCCACCCTGGAACAAAGTCCTGTGCTCACCGCCGAGCACAGAACACTCCCTGAAGGTCATGGGCAAAGCCAGAAAGCCCCGCTCCTACAAGTCCCAGCCTCCTGAGATGGCCACACTACCCAACTGCGGGCACCAGGGGCGGCACAGCCAGCAGCCGACAACCTCGCCCGGCCTGAGTTCAGACTGGCCGCTTCTCAGGGATGTGATACTGGGCAAGGCATGTCGTCCCCAGTGCCCTCGCTTTCAACGAGTGTGCTCTGGGGCCAGCGCAGCTCCTGCCTCCCAAGTTGTAAACAGTGAGGCGCCTCTTGGGACGGAGCCTAAAACTGGCGGCAAAGGCCCCACAGTGTGGGCCATTCGTCGCTACAACTGTAGCTGTCTGCTCCAAGAAGTGCAGGCAAATTGGTGCGCACGGTGGCGCTGGGACACACACCTCGCCAGGTAAGTGGCAGCAGAATGCCTGGTGGTGCCCCAGGAATCAGAAACAGCAGTCCCCTCCTCTGGGCCAGGCCCGGCCAGTGGGCCTCAGCACCTCCCTGCTCCCGGGCCCCCCCATGCCAGGCCTTGCAGCCTCCGCACTAGGTCCTGGCCTCAGAGCTCCCAGAGCCGCTACTGGCCATGCAAGTGCCTCACTTCTGTGTCGGGGGTTTGCTGGGTGCATCCTGCCTGTCCCCATCAGGAAAAGACCTCCGCAGGAGAGGCCCCGTGTCATCTCCCTCGCACAGAGTCCACAGAAGGCTAGGGCTGCCCGTGGGAGGCTCCCAGTCCTGGAGGAGCCATCTGGGGACAGCCACCCGCAGTCCCCGGCACCCAGACCCCCAGCCACCCACCCACCCACCCGCCTTGGCCCCATACCGATGACAGTCAGGTGGGTACTGGCAGTGATGCTGGTGACCACGTTAGTGGCGATGCATTCCCACTCCCCATGGTCCTCCTTACTCAGGGCTCGGAACTGGAGGCTTCCGCTGGGCAGGGCGTTGTGCTTGCTTCTGCTGGGCTTCCCTACCTTGGCCAAACAAGGGGGCAAAGAGGAGGCAGGACAGGGCACAGAGGAGGAGCCGGGTGGGACGGGGGAGAAGAGAAGCCACCAACACCTCAGGGCCAGGCGAAGCGGACGCAGAGGTCGGTGCCTGAGCACTCGGCCCACACCCCTGTGTCCCGGGAGCCTATGGGGACGTCCCCCTGGCTCCTCAGCACCTGGACCATCAGAACAGGGCCGCTGCTGGGCCCTTCCCCTCCACCACGTTTCCCGGAGCTCCGGAACCCAGAGGTACCTTTCTCCACTTGATGACAGGGAAGGGATCCCCTGCGGCCGCACAGGGGATGAGCAGCTCCCGGCCGGCCTCCTGCCTGTACTCCCAGCCCGGTAGCACCGTAAAATACGGGGGGTCCTAGGGAGAACACCGCAAGGCCGTGAGGGCGGGCATTTGGGGCACCCGCCCACTAGGAGGCCAATGGCGGTCCTGGGCCTCACCTTCAGGACTAGCCGTGCGGGAGCAGACTGGCCCATGGTCCCCAAGGTATTGTAAGGCACACAGGTATACGTGCCAAGAGCCTCTTCTGTGGCCTCCTCGATTCGGATGGAGCCATCCTCCATCAAGGTCCAACCCAGGTTCTGCCGGAACAGGCAGCAGAATGGGGAGCCAGGGTCAGGGGTACACACCTAGGCCACCCCGCCAGGGCCAGGGCTGGGCCGGATGGGCCCACCAGCTGCCCTGGGGGCAGAGTGTCCCAACGCCCTGCCAGACTGCAGGCCCCCATGGGAAGCAGCTCTGTGCCTTCCCGGAGTTTTTGGTGGGGACAGGAAAGTTCCCGGGGAACCAGGCCCCGAGAAGCGGCACCTCAGTGTCGGGAGGGTGTGTCTCACGGGGCCCCACATGCATCTCTCTAGCACCTTCTCGACCTGCAGGGGGCGGCCATCCTTATTCCACTTGACCACAGTGGCCGGTGGCTCTGCGTCCACAGGGCAGCGGATGTAGCCATGGATCCCCACGGGCACGTAGATTACGGGGGGCATGTTGAGGACACGGGCTGGATCTGCAAGGGGTGGGGCGGGGTGGGAGAGAAGAGAGACGCAAGGGGCATCAAGAAGGAAGAAGCCCGGGCAGGAGGCCGGGCCTCCGCAGCACCCCCAAAGTCCAGCCTTCCACACGCTCCGCCCACTCAGTAAACACTGTTGGGCAGCCCAGTGCTGAGTGCTGGGCCCCTCCTGGCGAAGGGTAAACTAGACCCGGCCCTCCTGGGCTTATCGCCCAGAGTCCGCACGGGGGCCAGCGCGGGCTGCAGACTTCTTTTGTGTGTGCGGCTTACGGCATCCTTTAGCACTTCTGCTTTGAAAGCTCAGAGGCACGTGCTGGCCTGCCTTGGTCTGAAGCACTCCTCAAATGCCTCAACTCTGAACATCTCTGGGGACGGGAGCTCTCCGGTCCATTTCCCTGTGGACCTCCGGGGGGGGGGGGGGGGGGGGCGCGGCCCTCCCAACCTCAGAGTCAGCATCTGACCACACCCTCCCCCACCTGCTGCTTGTCTCAGGCCCTCGTCACCAAGCCAGCTCCTCCCTCTGCACATCCTAAGCCAAGGGGAGTGGCAGTCCTACGCAGGAGGTGGGCGGAGGCACAAATAAGCTCAGCTGGGTCTTCTCATGTCCATTCTGCCGGGTGCCCCACCTCCCAGGCCTCGGTTTCCCCTCTGTGCAGCTGGAATGCTGCGCCAGCCTGGGCCCCAGAAGAGATGACTGGTCCTGAGGCCACAGCGAGAGCCCCACGTCCTCTCCGGTGGGTGAGTCATCACCTTTCAGCTCTCCGCCATTCCCCCAGGGGCTACCAGGAAGAAAGATCCAGAACTTCCAGGGAGGCGGTGGGGATGAATGAGCGGGATCTTTAAGCATTTGGAGCTCTTCAGAGAACAGTATTACATAAATACCAGGCCGAGTTATATATTTAGACATAGCTTCCTACTTTTGTATGGTAGAGACGGTTTTTTTCTTCCTCCAAGGTTTTCAAAGGGTTTGTGAATGGGAAATACTCTGAACACTGCTTTTTCACAGAAATAAAGATCCTTGTCTCACCCACCTGAAAATCTCACCCCCCGGATTCTCTCTGAAGGCAGGAAGGAGGTAAAAAGGGACAAGTCGGAGTGGGCGAGGGCTGGAGCGCAGGGAAGCCACACCCGCCTCTCAGCAGGACACGGCCCAGAGCCCTGGGCATGGGGCTTACTCCCAGCAGGATTCAGCACCTTCCTGCCGACTCCCTGCTGTTGGCTCTCTCCCTCTGCCTCTGCCGCTGCCACCTTCCTGCACAGGTGGTAGACACCAGCCAAGGTGCTGTTCCAAGAGGAGTCCTTCCTCCCCTTCGCTCTTCTGCGCTCAGCACAGCTTGGGGCACATGGTAAGTCACTTACGAAAAGGTTCTTGACTTGCTGTTTCCTGCTGCAAGTCTGGGTGGGACAGACCTGATGTCCTGGGTCGCAAAGCTTTTCTTGGACCTCACAGTTCTTAAAAAGGTGGGACTCATAGCATGCTGTTAAGTCCTTGCAATTTGCTGACAGCAGAAGTGGGGAAATGATGCCTTTGCCCCACGCAGCAACATCATGGTGTAGAGAAGAAAACAGTAAGAACAAGAGATTCAGAGCTCCAAGGGGCTCAGGTCCAGCTGGGCTCCACCTCCACGCCCATTCAGGGGCAGACAGTGCAAACACCCAGCTTCTTGAAGGGGGTCAGAGAGGCGCCCGCCCCCTGGGGCCGCCAGTGGCTCTTCTACTTGTCTTCAGTTTGAATGCTGACCATAGCCACATCTCCAGATTGTCATACTCCTCACCCTGCTACTGCGCGCCTTGGGGTGAGCAGTTCTCCTACACGCTCCTTCAGTGACGGAGAGCCTGTCACCTACAGCAACAACCTGGGGCCTTTGTTGTCTGAGTGACAGGGCCATCAGCAAATCAAAAGGAAGAAATTCATCCTCATTACTCATCCTTCTCACTCACAATGATCGGCATGCAGGAGGGTGGGGCAGCAAGGACCCTGAAGTACTGGAGATTAGCAAACTGAATGGTGGTGCTCACTCAAAAGCTGCCCATTGTTCAGGCAGAGGAGCATCTGGTTCAGTTGGAACTCTGGCCTCCTGGGGGGAGGGAGGCCAGGAAGCCAGGAGGGAGCCAGGCGGTGGTGGAATTGGATCAGCTAACCCCAGAAGAGGGTTCTCCATCACCCCTCACCCCCTCTGGGATTTGGGAAGGCAGGGAACTACCTGGAAATCTAACCCTACGCAGCTTCAAGTTACACTTCCTCAGATACCTGAGAAAAAAGCACCAGGGAGCCTCTCGTTCAAGGTGCTGACAGGTGCTGGCCAGCACTCAGTGCAAGGGCAATTGTTCAGGTCTGCCGGTCCCCGAATCCCACCTGTGCCTGGCTGATGCCATGAACTGGCTAGTACACAGCCACAGCTTCTGTGGCCCACAGGAGACCAACAAGGGCCAATTTCACCTCAGCTGACCAGCCCAGGTATGGGCCTCTTCTCGGCTGCCTGGCCTCCGGGCCCAGCCACACCTCTACCCACTCCCTGACTCGAGGCTGCCTTCCAGCCTGCAGCCTGCCCAAGGTGGCCCGGACCTGCCGGAGCCACCGCCCCCCAAGGTGCTCCCTTGTCCCTACTCACACTGCACAGTCAGGTAGGCTGAGGCCGACGGGGAGCGCCCCAGACTGTTGCTAGGGACGCAGGTGTACTTCCCTGCATCCTCGGGCTTCACCCGGAAGATGATCAGGGTCCCATCGATCAGGATCCTCACTCTCAGCTTCAGGTCACTGTCAAGGCAGCAAGGAGACACAGAGGGGAGGGCATTGGCAGGTGCGGGGAGAGGCCCTTCCATGAAACCCCAGAGCAAGGCGGCACCTTGAATCCTTCACCCCGGCGCCTGAGCAGAGACCCACGGGCCCTCGCACTCCCAGGGCCCCTCTCCAGGCCCTCACGAGTAGGACTGTGGACTGACAACCCCATCTCCAAGGACCAGAGCCCAAGGCAGCCTGCAGCATCCCTGGCCCAGAGGCCTTGCCCCTGCACACCTGGCTGCACCCCGCCCCCCCATCACAGCTCGGGCAGGTTGCTCACTTCTGAAAGTAGACATTCTCATCCTGCCAGTACCAGGTGTAAGTGAGGTTGCCGGGATACGCCTCCGCCCGGCAGGTAAGCAGAGCATCCTGGGAAATATTGACGGTGATGTTCTCAGGAGGGGACACTATGAAGGGCGGCCCTGGGGACACAGGAAACAAACATGACCTCACCTGCAGGGGCAGGGAGAACAAGGCCTCCCAGGAAGCTCTGAGATGCCTCAGGAAGGGTGCTCTGAACTCCAGGGGGAGAGCGGGGCAGCACTGGCCCCAGAGTCAGCAGAGCAACCCCAGGCAGTTGTCATGGAAACGCTCCCAGCTGCTGTCAGGGCTCCAGTCCTTACTCTCCCTACAGGTCCCAGAGATGCAGACAGTGCTGCTGTGGCCACAATGTGCCCGACCCCTTGAGCCAGCTGTAGACACCTTGGCACATACCTGCCCCCTGCTCCCATGCCTAACCCCTCTGTAAGTCCTGGCTCCCCAAACCAGCCACCTAACACCCCAACACACACACATACACACCCCAAGCCCTGCCAGCCCATCCTTCTCTCCAACAGAGCCCTGAGCAAGAGGCACCCGGAAGGGAGAAAGGCCACTCCTTCAGAGCAAGGACCAATGCTGCCGCTAGAAAAGCAAGAGGCCTGTGCTTCTTACCAGGCGGAGGTTAAGAGGGCAGCGCAGGGAGAGGGGCGGGGAGAGCAGAGCTGAGGGAAGGTAGAATTGCAGCAGTTCCTGGCACTAGCTTTCCAGACAGGCCGCAGCTGCCACCTGGCTGGCTCCCTACTGACAGAGGGCAGCTCTCCTCCAAACCGCGCCGCTCACACTCCACATCAAAATACAGGAAGAGCATGTGCCTCACTCAGCAGCCCCAGCAGCCCCAGCTGCTGCCACCACCCTCACCAGCTCCCCCAGCAGGCCGTGGGTGGGAGGCGGAGCAGGCGGATGGGCTCAGCAGAGAAGAAACCCTGCCACCCAGATGCCACCCCCGCTTCTGGCACACTGAGGCCCCAGGCCGGGCAGACTGGCACCGCCAGGTGCTGATTGTGTGGACCTCAGCTCTGCCAAATGCCAACGCTACCTGGGCAGATACAGAAATCAGAACCTCCCACCCAGCACCAGGCCTCATGCCACTGGTGTGACAGCCACGGCCGGCCACACGGGAGCTCCCGCAGAGAAGATCATGATGTGTGGGCTGCCCACTTCCACGTGCCCCCAGCTGTGCCCACGGCAGATCTGCTGGGCTGCAAGTCCCTAAAAGGGCCCAGGGCACCGAGAAGTCAGAGGAATCCGTGTCACCTTGAACAAGCAGGTGGGTGGTATGGACGGCCTCCCCTTGGATGCTGTATGCACGGCAGGTGTAGGCACCTCTGTCCTCCCGGCTGACCGATGTCACCGTCAGGCTCCCGTCACTCACCTGGGGCCGAGGAGAGACGGGGCTCAGCACCCACCCCGGGGCCCAGCCAACACCACCCTCAGGAGGAGGCGGCCTCAGCTTCATGCATCTCAGGGATACGCAGGCAGGTGCCTCGCTTGCCATCTCCCTCCAGCCACACAGACCCCAGCCGGTCTGCCTGCTGTTTCCTCCTCCTCTGCGCCTTTGCACAGTGCCATGGTCATGTGCAGACAGCCATGGTGAGCAAGAAGGGGCCAAGGAAGGCCGAAGGGAGTGCAGTGGCCCCAACAAAGACCCACACGTACCTGGTATTTCCCACTGGCACCTAGGAGTGTCCCTTCCTTGAGCCAGGTGACAATAGGCTTGGGGTTCCCAAAGGCTGTGCAGGTCATGGTCACGCTGCCACCCTCCTTGGCCTCGATGTACTGGGGGGGTGTTTCTGTAAAGGTGGGAGGGGCTGCAAAGAGACCACAAAGGCTCAGGGTGAAAATTGTAGGCGGCTGCCCCACGCCGTGCCCGCCCGCCCCAGGCAGCACGCCCATGTGATCTTCATGGCCCGCACAGGCTCCTGCGTGATGCTCTTCAAAGCCTAAGGATGGAGGAAGGAAGGTGGAGACAGGTACAGTGCTCTGCCCATGAATCTCATACAGGGAGAGACCTGGAATTCAAAGGCAGCCCGGCAGTGTCCAAATTCTAAATATTATCCATTGTAATTGGCAAATTCCCAAGAGATGCATGTTTGCTGAGCGCCCATCAGGCAGCACCGAGCTCAGCACCGGGATGAGGGGACAAGAAAGACAGCTCTCCCCTGGCTTCCACTGAGCCTGCGTCTGCCAGCAGCTCCATGGGCTGCTCCACCATCCTTCCGTCTTTGTCGTCCTGGGCACCACCCAGCCTGGCCAGGCCCTCGCATCTGGGACATTCGCCATCTGTCTCCACCTAGGCTCTCTGCCTTCATCCCCAAAAGACAGGCTGCTTGCTGCTTACCACTACTCTAACTGCACAAGGCTGTCCCCCTCCACCACCACCTAGATTGGAAGTTTAACTGAAATTCCATCCTCTTGAACAGTCAGCTTTTAAGAGACATGGTCTCATGTCCTCTGAGCTGCTTCCAGAGGAAATATGGTCAATCCTGACCCCTTGGACCATGAGCTCCTCAGTCTTCTGAAATGACAAGGAGGGCCCCACTTCTGCACACTGCCCTGCAGGCCCACAGTGCACTCTGAGCTCATCTCCAGGCATCCCAAGCTCAGCACCAAATTCACCGTGCCAGCCTGACACCTGTTGTGCCACCCTGGGCAAGTGACTCAGCCTCTTGGGGCTTTACCTAAACCCCCACCCTCCGAACTGCTGTGCAGAATGAATGAGCTGCAGTGTGTAAACAGGAGCTTGTACCATGTAAGCGTGCAACGTGTTGCGTATTTCCCCAGTGGCATCTCCCCGGGAGCCTCTGGAGCATCGTGAGACGCATGCCTCGGGGCCTCTCCTCTTCAGACAGCCCTGCCCCGAGAACCAGTCAAAGTGTGGTTCTGCCCCTTTGCCAGCTTCGCCCACCAGATTTTGCCCTTCACTGTGCCCTGACCACACTGCCCTCTTTGTCTTTCTCAAATGTGCCAAGATCATCCAACCTCAGGGCCCTTGCGTTTGCTGTCCTCTCTGCCTGGAGCTTGATACAAAGACCTCCCTCCTTCAGTCACACAAGTCTTTGCTAAGATGCCATGTCCGCCTTGCCTGGTCAGCCAATCTGAATCTGAGATGGCACTTCCAGCGTCGTCTATCCCCTTAGACTCTGTGAGTGTCTTTACAGCATTTATCACTAACTCTCCTAAGAACAGAGGTCTTTTCCACAAACCCCACTGCATGCCCAGCTTTTAGCATAGTTCCTGGTGTGTAATAAAATACTCAACAAGTATCTGCTGAATGGATCTATGAATGAACAATGAATAAATGAATGATGAATGAATGAAGGCGCACTCTCACACACCTACAAACCAACACAAATGCAAACACATAAAACTCCTGATGATCATGAATGCGGTAGGACCATTTACTTCCTTGACCTTCCAAGCCCTTAGCTCAGTGTGGGCACATGGGGACACTGGGAGAGTGAGTGTTGAATGGATTAAAAAGCATACACCACCACACACAACAGACATCCCCAAGGCAGCCAATTCCGATCCAATGTCTAATACACCAAAGAAAGGCCAAAATCATCCACATCCTTGAAAAGGGATCCTGTAACCCTAACTTCCGGCCTCTTCCCCTGCACGGAAATGTGCTCTCCTCCCCAGCAGAGCCCCCCCACAGCCACACACCCCCACCCTGCAATCAGCCAGCACAGCCGCAGCCTCTGTTACCCCTGGTACTAAACTTAAAGGAAAGATAATAAATTAAATTATGTCCTGAAGTGACAAATTAATTGCAAATTACATAATTACTTTATTATTTAGGTGCTAATCAAGAAAGTGCTTTGAACATGTTCAAGTTTTCAGGAAAATAATGGTTTGACTCTGGATTATTTACTGAATTAGGGGTTAGCTTGCCAGCTGCATTTCCAGTCTTAATTCTTTTTTACAAGTGCCCTATAATTAATAGTGCACGTTAGAGATAGGCTGGCCTCTCTGCCGTGGAATTCGCCAACCTGGAGTGAGGCTTGCTTGGGCTTTTCAGGTATTTTATACGTGATAAAGAAATAATTCGGTCTTGTTGCCACACAACTGATCTTCAAGAAAACACACCAAGAGAATGAGACAATTTGTAATTCTAATTTTCACTGGCCTTTCATTTTCCAAAGGTGACCCCCAGTCAGAAAACGCCTGACATGAAGTAGGCACACTCAGAAGCAATGAGGTTAGTGCTCGGGCTCCCTCCTTCAGCAAGGAGGACCTTTACGCTGGAAGGAAGCGCCGAACTTGGGAGCCGGGGGAGGTAGAACATGGGGAGAAAGATCCCCCTTCTTGTCTGACCTGGCGGCTGCACTGCCCTACCCATCTGGGAGGGAGGCTCCTTGGGAAGGGCAAAGTGCTCTGGAGAAGCCCTGGGTCTAAACCTGAAACAGGTGGTGCACATCCTTAGCTTTTCTGCCTAACCCATCCGTACAAACCACCCACCTGCGTTCCCTGGGTGTAGCAGCTCTCCTTCCCCTGGGCTTCCGGGCATGCTGTTCCCTCCACCTGGAATACTCTTCCCCGCCTCCCAGCCCTGCCCCTGGCTGACTCTTCCTCCCTGGTTGGAGAAGCTCCCCCTTGCCCATGCCCCAAAGCCCACAGGGCCACTGTCTCAGGACCTGACTGCCCACTGCTGTACCCCCAGTGCTGGCCAGAGTGGACGTTCAAGAACGTGTTTGAGTGGTTGATTACTGGTGGCCTCACCAGGACTTTCAGGCTATGACAGTCCTCTCCGTCCTCCAGCCTGAAGTACCGTCCTGTGCTGCCACATCCCTGTGGATGCACCTCCATCCGACTTCACATTTTTCCTCTGGACAAGGAAGGTGGCCAGCATCTTACACACAAATACCCCCATGTAATGAACATTTCAGACCTGGGCAAGGCGCTCTCTCACCCCTAAGCCTCACAACGGCTTTGCACATAGGCATTGTTTTGGGTAACGGAAAAAACTGAGGCTTAGGGAGGTGAATCCCAAGGTCATAGGGCGAACATGCCCAGGATTCATGACATGGATTCAGGGTCTATTCCATGCCAATTCCACTCCAAGCAACTAGGAATCCCCAGAGAATCAACTCCCACTGGTGCAAACTGAGACAGAGACGTACTAGAACACACACTTCCACACTACAGTCTACTTCCTGTCACGTGGGCGTCTGCTGAATGCCTAGTCTCTCAAGTTGCTGAAACCAACACCGGCAGGATGATGCGAAAGGAACGGGGGGAGGTGCTTTGAGATTCCAGCCTCGCTTAGGAAAGGGCACGAGAGAGAAAGAAAGCAGCGTGGGGACTTCTGGCTCAGTGTTCAGTCAGTGAAGCTTTTAGCAGCAGATTTACCTTCCTAATTATGTTTTGCTTGGGCTAATATTAAGATGAGTTTTCATTCCCAGCACACACAACAGCTGGCATCAAAAGGAGGTGACTCAAAGCTTGCTGGGTGCTGGGGACAGCCCACCCAAGGTTTAAAATGAGCTTCCCATCAGCCTCTTGGGACTGGCTGACGAGAGCCAACTACGTCTAATGGGTTGAGCAGCCTGGACCTACTGTGACCAAGGGCTGCATCTCTGAGTTTACTTTTCCCAGGGGTCAGCGCTCTGGCTAAAATTCTCTGTACCTCCAGCACCCTGGAGGGGTTCTCAATCCAGAAGGGGGATGGCCTGACCCAAGCCCTGAGAGGAATGACCCAGCCTTGCAAGGTAGGGCAGGCAGAGCCGTCCTTCAGGGCAGATCAATACTGAGGGCAGCGCCTAAGCCAGAAACACCACCAGCTTCTCTCTCCCAAGCACAGCATCTACCGTCGCAGACATCAAAACCGGATGGACCCAAGCTGTGTGTGCACTTCCAAAGCATACACGCTGCTGAAGCCTCAGGAACTAGCCCAGGTCTGCAACACAGGGGTGGCTGGATACATCTTGTAACAAACTGAATAAAGAAGAACAAGGGTCTAGCCAGAAAAACAAAACAGAAACAGCCTGCTTTCCTCACACAAGGGGATTACTCTCCTTCAAATTTTCTGCACAGCTCCAGCTTCTCCTGGCTTCCCCAGAGGCTCCTCTCCCAGGCCAGGACGGCCAGTGACATGAGGGGGACTCCCATCTAGGAAGACCCAGGCCCCTAGCCTAGGCCAGCACTGGAACCAGCACGCACTCTGGGGCTTCTGCCGGCACAGGGCTTCCTTGCCTGCATGCCTGAAATGCATTGTGCACAGCACAACTCATTTAACCTGAGCTATAAATAACTGATCGCCATTAAAACTGTTACTTTTCTCAGGATTCATCCAATTGATCAGACAGCGTACCCAGTATAGGCAGGGACTGAGCCTGGGTTTGCTCAGCTTCGTCTTCCCACCATCTGGTGCCAGGCTTGGCACACTGGCAAACCCTCAGTACATGCTACGCGAATGAATGCACCTAACAAGGAACCCAAACGTCACCCTGAAAAGGAAGGCTGCCATGGTGGACTCTGGAAACCCCTCTGGAGAGCAGGGAGGCAGATCTTGCCCAGGTCAGGAAGTGGTGCCAGCAGTTGCCACTCCTGCTCTCAGGAACCAGATTCTTGCCTCCCCAACATGGAGCTCTGACACACAGCAAGCGCCGCCTCGTGCACAGGGAGCTGCTCTTCCCAGGCACCACACTGACCTCAGAGGCCCTGGGGGACAGCTCAGGGGACACAGTTCGGGGAGCCCGGCATTCCGAGGCTCCTCTCCGCAGCAGGGATGTGGAATGGGGATGGGGTGCTGTGCAGAGAGGCGTCCCCTTGACCACGCCTCGGAGAGCAGGTTTCCTAGGCTGCTGCCCCCTCCCGGGGAAGGTGGCTGGTACTCACCATTGATGGTGAGGTGGACCCAGCTGCCGTTGTGGAAGGTGTCATACTGCTGGTCCAGCATGAGCACTTTGCACTCGTACCAGCCCTGGTCCTCAGAGCGAACCTGCTCCAGCCGCAGCGATGCTTTATCATGAAGACTCGCTCGGCCTGAGGGACAGAGTGGACAAGAGCCCCAGTGCTGCAGCCAACGCTCAACGCCCCCTCTCTGGCTGAAGGCAAATGGCCTATTGCCACCTGCAGACCATTTCCCATGGCAGGGCCCCAAAATAACAGCTGGCACCGACCTCTGGCTGCAGGTGGCAAAGCAAAAAGGCATAAAGCCTTGGCTACGGAGCCACAAGCCCTCCCCAGCTCTCCATCCTCCGCAGGCCCCATCGCAGCTGCAATGGCAACTCTGTGCCTGGTGCTGAGAAGAGCCACAGTCCCTTAGAACACTCCCCTTTTGGAGATCTCTTGGGACAAAGGAAAGGGATACAGAGCTGAGGGGAAAGGAGGGTGAGAGGGGAACGAGGGAGTGGGGAGGGAGGGAAGTTGGGGGATCTAGAGCAACCCCCAGAGCACTCCCATTCTGGGAGAGTAACACCCCTCTCCCAGCAGGGCCCCACACCCCTTCGGTTTAGCAGAGGGAAGGCAGGATGGAGACCAGGGTGCCACAGTCACTGTTCATCTAGCCAGAGCCCAGCACCCCCAGGTGGCAAAGGCATGAGGCCCATAGCCTGTGAAGGAGGAAAGGGCCAGCCAGCAAAGCAGAGGCTACTGGCCAGTCTCCTTACCTTTGCCCTTGACCCTTGAGGAGATCAGTTTTGCCTCACAAAAATGCTTGTCTCACAGCACCGAGAAGGTAAGATCTGCAGCAGGAGCCAAGCAGGAGGCAGAGTGGCCCCCTTCCCCCACAGCAAGGGAGGGTGTCCAGGCATGCTCGGGGCCTCCCACCCCTTGGCCACCACCTCAGCCCCCCACTGCAATGTCATAAGCTCCTCTGCTTGACTCCTTGTCTCTACACCAAAACTCTGCCTATAAGCCAGACTATCAAACCAACCAGGCCAAAAAGAGCAAAGGCAGAGGCGCAGGAGGGAGGGAGAGAGACCTGAAGTTTTCTGAGAAATGCGCTGCAGTGAAGATAAAAGCCGTGTCCCACTGGCTTCCTCTCTTCCTTTAAAACCCAATACACAGACATACACACACACACTCACATGCTCGCCCATGCACACACATTCATGTGTGCACATGTATGCCTACAATCACGCTCGCATGTTGGCATGTGCACATGCTCTTGCAGGCTCAGACATGTACTCACATGTCTGTGTACATGTGTGTGCCCGTGTGTTCACAGATGTGTGTTCACACACGTGCACGTGTGCGCTTGCAAGCACATACACATCCATACTCATGGAGGTGCATGCTTGCACATACACGTCTGTGCCCACACATGTGTGTGCACTCATGTGCTTTTCACACATGCACGTGTGCCATGCCCTTGCATGTGCATCTACACTCGTGCATGTTCACACATGTGTGCATGTTGCGAATATTTGTGCGTGCATGTGCACGCGCTAGCACAGGTATATGCATTCGCATGCTCACACATGCACACACCCACACCCTCTTCCTGGGCAGGCGCTGGCAATGACCACAGTGAGGCCACAGCTGCAGGGGTAATTGCAGCAGCGGAAGCCGAGAGCAGGCACTGCCACAAGCAGACACACACTCAGAGGGAATGAGGTCCAACTTCAGAGCCAGAGGGAGGTGTGGGTATAGACGGGCAGAGCAAAGCCCACAGCTGCTGCAGCCATAGCACCAGCCCCGGCGGCTCTGACTCAGCGTCTGTCTGCACGGAGCTGCCCTCCGCCCCACTGGCTCTCCCCTAGGGTGGGCCTTCTAGGCTGCCCTGTCTCCTACTCCCGCCTCTGCCCCTGCAAACCACGGGCCTTATGGTTTGGGAGGGCTTCCTGTCTGCATCATCCCCTTGTCCCTCTCCCTCCACCACTTAGTTAAAACCTTCCAAAGTCCAAAGGATGGGAAGAAAGAGGTAGAGACTGTGGCAAACAGAGATAACAGACCAGTCAGAAAAACACAGGAGGTAAAAGAGATGAAGGCAGGAGGAAGCTGGACCACTGAGCACTGGGACCCGGCAGGGGAGGGGCAGCATGGCCAAGACCAAGGGCAGGAGGCAGAGTGGCCCGGAGCTTACCTGCATACTCAGGGTCCACATGGGGTGGGTAGTAGCCAAACTTGATGAAGATCGGGATAGGCACCCCGAACTTGAACCACTCCACGACATAGGGTGGCGGCTGTCCAGTCACCGGGTGGATCACATCGCATCGCAGAACCACGCTCTCACCGGCTCTCGCCGTCACGAACTCGGGCTCCTCTCGCAGGCCGTGGGCAGCTGATGGGACAGCAGAGTTGGAGCGCAGAAAAGGAGGTGACAAGGAGATCCTGCCCTGGCAGCCCCAGGGGCAGCCCCCTGCCCATGTTCAAGGACATCTGCTCCCCTCCCAAGGTCGCTATCCCCCCCCAACTGCCCTCTTCCTAAAGAGGAGCTCACCGACTCCTCAGAGGGTCCCCAGTGCTCCCTCCCGCCTCCCCCAGTCCCCGCAGCCATGACCCCACAGGGCAGGGGCAGGGGCAGAAGCTCGGTCCTGCAGGCCAGCTCTTCCGTCGCTGCTCCTGAGGAGCAGAGGCACTGCCCTTCCCTGTGACCCCCGCCAAGAATTCTAAGGGGTCTGGACACTGAGAAGAGGCAGGGGCTCAGCAGAACTGCCACCAGGGCTGTTGTGGCCAAGGGTAAACTCAGGCTATCTTCCTACACCAGGACGCTTCCCACCAGAGCCCGCTAGGAGCTCCCTGCTGCCGCCCGGCCTCCTCCTACACCCCACCCCCATTCAGTCTGATGTTGGCAGCACAAAACAAGAGCGCTCCACACAGGAGCAGGGAATCCCTACCAAGCTGAAGGGAGGCTGCTAGGGGCAACACCAGAGAGGAAAACGCTATCAGGCCCCTCCTCCTACTCCCTGCTGGGCCTGCAGCTGGAGGTGGGGGGCTTCCGGCCTTCCAGTTCCCAAGCGCCAAACCTATCAGGCTGCCAAACCCCAGATATCACTATTAGGACAGCAGGATGCTGGGGACAGAGGAGGAGCCCTGGGGCCCACTAACCTCAGCCAGCTAAGGGGAAACCACGCTTCCTTGGGCAGAAGACACACCATGCAGCCAGGATGGGTGCACCCATCCTCCTGGCAGGGGGTTCGGTGAGCAAGCCCCAGCCCGCACGCTGGAGGTCAGCCCAGACACTGCTCCACGTGACTCCACAGCACGCTCCTGGACCCTAATCACTGGAGGCCGTAAAAAGGGGTGCAACCCCCACCGCTGCCCAACACGCCTGACTCCACGCCAGCCCTCTGTGCCCTCAAAGCCACCTTGTTCAGCTTTCTTCCCAATCAAAGGGACAGCTGAGGAATCCTCTCTCTCCTGCCTGCCTTCACAGGACCCAACACAAGAGTGGCTAGACCAGGGTTTCCCAGTCCCCACCCATTTTCCCCTCCCAGCCCATGCAGGCAGCACCATGGACAGCAGCTCCTTCTTGAGGCTGAAAACCGAGGAGCCGGGGCCTCCCACCAGCCCAGAGAGGTTGCCCAGAGCAGAGCGAGTCTGTCTGCCTGCTGCCTCCGAGTCTGATTCCTGATGCAGCTCTGACCCCTGTATGCCCCTGCCTGTCTCCTCCTCTCATCTGTCTCTTTCTCCAGTCCGTCTCTGCTTTTCTCTAGTTGTCGATGACTCCCTGCTGTCTGTCGGCTCCTGTTCTAGCTCCTTCTCCATGTCTCTGTCTCTCCAGCTCTCACCCTATGGGGTGATTCTGTCTACTCTCCCGTCTCCCTGTTTTTGAGTCTCCTCTCAGAGTGTGTGTGTGTGTTGGGGGTGGGGTGTGTGGATTTCTATTCAGCTGTGCAAGGGGAAGGAGTTCACCTGCTTTTTTTCTCTGTGAACCTCCCTCTCTTGCTTGTGTTTTTGTGTTTCATTTGTTTCTGTGTCTGTCTGTATGCTGTCTGTGTGTCTCCCTGTATCTCTCCTTCTCTTCCTCCCCCTCTCCCGCTTCTCCCCTGCAAGTTGCAGAAGGAGGAGGAGGCAAGACCTTCCAGAAGCTGATTGGCTACTGGTGACATCACTGTTTTCTAGAGAAAGAGCTAAGATCACAGAGTATTTTTGGAGCAGAGTGTTGCACTCACCTGCCTGAGGCCCCAGCAGGTTTCCCAATTCCCCCCACCCCCAATCCTGCCTCAGACTAAGTCTGAATTCCAGCCCCTCAGGGAAAGCATGGAGAGGGCCCTGCTGTGGCAGGTGCCTCCCCCGCAGCCCCAGGGGCACCCACATAGTGACAGAGCCTGCCTCCCAGCATCTGGAGCACAAAGGCAGATCCTGGACCCAGGTGGAATGGGCGAGCAGTGGGTAATGAGTGAACAGGGGGAGCCAAGTGCATACGCATGTGTGTGTGTGTGTGCATACCTGTGTGCGGCTCTAGGCAAAAGGACATGTGGGTGTGTGCAGATGTGTGTGTGCAGTGGAGAGGCAAAAGGGAAACAGAGGAGGGGTGGGGAGGGAGCTACTCCCCTGAACCGGGTAACCTGGTAGGGGGCACTCCTTCTCAAGGAGCACTGGAGCCTTTGACACTGGAGCCTAGGGCAGCAGAAAGAGAGGCCGCGCCCTGCCGGGCAGGTAGGTGGCTGCCCCCCTCTACCAGTGAAGCTGGGCTCTGGAGCTCTCAGGCTGTTGGGGTGGAGGACTCCAGGGTCAAGCCCAGGAGGCAGGTGGGCTCTGGGCTCTGATATGGGTTCCTACTGGGCCAGCTGCTCATTCGCACCTCCTGCTGCCTCCTTCTCACTGCATGGCAATGAGGCAGCCTGGTTTGCACCTCCCCCCAGCCCAGGAGCAGGCTGCAGGTCTCCACCCCACCCCCACCCCCGCCAGCCCTGGGGCTCACCCCCAGCCAGGCAGCCACATCCTGAATCTCTCTCTTCTCAAGGACCCCACTGGGGACAAGCAGCTGAAAAGGGGCACAGTGAGCTAAGCATCCGAAGATGAGAAAAGGGCAAAAGAGATGGAATTCCCCAGGAAGAAGGCCTCCGAACTCAGTCCCACCCTCCTGGGTTTCCGGATCCTAAACTATTTACCAGCTTTTTTCATCTCTTCACCCCCCCCACCACACACACACACACACACACACACACACACACACCCTACATGTGTTCTCTCCATCACCCACCAGCACTTTTCCCTAAGCCTGATCCTTTCTGAGCCAAAGCATGTCTAATAAAACACTTTCTACAGAAAATCTCACCATACACACACACACACACACACACACACACACGTAAACAGGCTAGCAATGAAGAGGGAAGAGAGGCGTGATGGACGAGAGAGAAACCCCAACCCAGGGGGCCACCAGCCCAAACCGAAGAGTGACAAGAGACTGAAGAAGCGAGAAAGGAGGGACACAGAGAGAGGCAGGTCCAGTGCAAACCAGACACAGGCAGAGAGGAACACAGGCACCAAGGACTCGCTGCTGGGGTGCAGACACACGCCTTCCCAGGACCCAGGACCAGGAGGGGACGAGCTGAGGCTGCTCCTGCAGGGAACAGGTGGGCTTCTCTCCAGCAGAGCAGACTGAAGCACATGCCCACTGATTCTGAAGGGAGCGGGAAGGAAGGGGGGAGGGGCTGAGGAAGGGCTGGGGAGGGTGGGGAGGGAAGAAAAGGATGGATGTGACCTGAGGTGGGGAGAAGCTGCAAAAAGTGGAGAGACCCCCAACCCCCTCCCCCATCACAGGGGCCTGAGCATCTCACAGGGGCGGCTGCAGCTTCATGGAGGAAGCTGGCATCCTCAGGGGCGACGACAGCAGGAGGCTGCAAGGCATCCTGGAGTTCACATCCCCAGTTTAGACAAGGCAGAACACAGCAGTTCCCCAAGCCACTCTGTGCCTGGGGCTCTGCCGGCCCACTTTGGAGCTGTTCCACCCCAGTAGGAAAAAGGGAGCAGGAGGGTAAAGGAGGATGGGGTGGCCCCTGCAGTCTGGCTGACCTTTGGAAAGCCCACAGGGTACAAGTCTCCTGCTCTCTGGGCCAGGTGGTGCCCAGCGGGCACTGAGTCCAGGGCTGCCACGGGATCCCCTGTGAGCCCAGAACCATGAGCATCCAGAACCTGGCACAGCCCCATACCTGACATTCACGGCCTGGAGCTCTTCCACCAGGGCAGAGCCACCAAAACTGGGAGACACTCTTAATACCAGAGAAGGTGCAAGTACCAGTGCAGGGAGAGCCGCAGCTTCCGCTGTGCACACCTACCACACCTACCGTAGGCCAGGCTCCCCGCCGGGCATGTAAGGCGGAGCTCACCAAGTACCCACCTAACAGGCCCCCCTGACGGGAGGACGCCATCTCCTTCTCACAAGTGAGCCACGTGGGAGGGGCAGCCTGCCACCCCTCTTTGCCTGCATTCCTTTGCGCCATCCTGCAGACTACAGTTCAGGCACCGAGGCCTTCTCGGGCCCACTGCACCCAAGAAATCACACCCCAACCCCACTGCCCCATCCCCACAGCAGGCCCCTCACAGCGTCCAGCAGCCTGGCTCCTGCAGCCCAGGACCACGCAAGGTCGACAGGGCAGGCACCACAGAGGCCAGCTGGCATCGCCGAGCCGTCAGAGACAAACCCTGAGTGAGCTGGGGCTGCAGGGCCCAGGAGCGCAGGCACCTCCCAGAGCCTCCTCTTTCTCCTCCTCCTTCTCTGCCTCTGGGCACCAGACTCCCAAACGACAGGCCTGTTGTCTAATAATACAAGCGACAGCCACTGCCACCTCCATCTGCCAGCCTAAAAATAATCTCTGCTGAGTCCAAAAAAGGCACAGCCCCTGATAGTACCCCAATCATTTCTCCCTGACAAGCCAGGAGGCCCCAGGAGTTTCCAGGGAGCCGGCAACTCAGGCTTCCCGGGAGGCATACCCACAGGGATGGTGTGAGGGAGGCGGGAGACAGGCTCCCTGCCGTCTGAAGCAAAGCCAAGAACATGCCGGAAGTGCGAGATGGAGAAGGTGCCTGTCGTCAGACCATCACACTAGGTCCCGTTCTTTCCAGAGGCAGGTGGGCTAGAGGCCACCTGGGTACCATTCTGCCTCGAGCGAAAACTGCACACGGCTGCTAGACAAGTCCCAAGGGACAGCCCCACCTCCTGTGGTCTCCCCCTAGGACTAGGAAACCCCACTTCAAACCTCCCAGGCTGGGAAGTCAGAGGTCAGGCAAGCCCAGACTGGCCTAGCAGGGAAGTTTGGTGCCGAGGTGGAAGGCAGGGATGGCAGGCCTCCTTCCCCCCATGGGTACCTCTCCCCACAACCCCTCTCGGGA